CTGGTGGACAGCAAGTTGAGCATGAGGCAGCAATGTGCCCTTGTGGCCGAGAAGGCCAATGGTATCCTGGGCTGCATTAAGAAGTGTTGCCAGCAGGTGGAGGGAGGTGAGCCCTGGTGAGGCCTCATCCAGAGTACTGTGTCCGGTTCTGGGCTCCTCAGTACAAGAGTGACACTGAGCTACTGGAGAGAGTCCAGTGGAGGGCTACAAAGATGATTAGGGGACTGGAGCATCTCTTGTATGAGGAAAGGTTGAGAGAGGTGGGACTGTCCAGCCTGGAGAAGAGAAGATTGAGAGGGGATCTGATCAATGTGTACAAGTATCTGAAGGGAGGGTGTCAAGGGGATGGGGCCAGACTCTTCTCAGTGATGCCCAGTGATAGAACAAGAGGCAACGGGCACAAACTGAAACACAGGAAGTTCTGTTTGAACATGAGGAAAAACTTCTTGACTGTGAGGGTGACGGAGCACTGGAACCAGAGGGTTGCCCAGAGAGGTCGTGGGGTCTCCTTCTTGGAGATATTCAGCAGCTGTCTGGACACAATCTGGGGCAATGTGCTCTAGGTGACCCTGCTTGAGCAGGGGAGTTGGACTAGAAGATCTCCAGAGGTCCCTTCTAACCTCAACCATTCTGTGATTCTGCGATTCTATTGCTTTCAGTTTTGGCAGCATAGCAGGAAGATTGTTTTAATAAGACTGTTAGGGACAGATGTAATAAGAAAGAACCATTATGAAGTGCTATTGTTAGTGTGCTATGGTCCTGGCATTTTAACTTCTCTGATCACAGTATAGAAGCAGAAATCAGAGGTGCAGCTGGCCTATATAAAAAGGATTATAAATTTTATAGATATAGAGCTAGCTGAACTCAGTGTAGAGTCTAGCATACCATTTTAGTCATCCTCACTGAAGAAACATGTGGCTTACTAGAAGATGAAGAGCAGTTAAAATAAAAAATGTGTAAACATTGTATGTGAAGACAGATTGCAGAAATTTTTTCTTTTCCATATCTATCTTGTCATTCTAAATTTCCTTTTTGGGATGGATGAAGGATAGGTTCTGAATACAAGCATCTCTGAGTTTAATCTGCCACTTCCATGTTGTCCAAGAGCAAGATAACATCTTCTTCCTGGTCATTTCCAGCTTTAACATTCTGTACGTTTTCGTCTTTGATAAAAAGCTAACTTTGACCCTGTTTTAACATGGTCACAAAGGCTTCCACCCCTTTCCTCTGTCTTCATCTTTCTGTTGGACCCGCTGTCCCAAATTAGGAACAAGTTGTCCTGCCTCCTAACTACCCTAGAAAAAATGTTATCTAGATGTTCTGGCAGAAAGCATCCTCTTCATCTCAGACACACACACACTCACATGCACACACACACATCCTCAGGAAAGGAAAGAAACCAGTCATATGCCTCACAGTTGATGCCATGATTGCAAGATACTGTGTGCAACCTGCTTAATGATGGAGCGGACTTATGTTTCCTGTACCTTTATGAGATTTAATGATGTAGTATGAAGTATAGAGAAATACAATTCTGTGAATACACTTTAAAAGACAAGTGAATTAATTTGAGCAGCTTCAAGAGTGTGTCAGTATCTGTTATGTCCTCTGTCACCACTGGCTTCAAAAATAAGATCATGCAATGAAATCTTGGTTCTCCTGAGGTAAAAGGCAAAACGTGGAAAGAAGTAAAAATTAAACCATGGGATTATCATAGCCCAAACACTATCTACTCTAGTGACATCAGCTTCTCTAAAAAGCGCATGCAGCCTGCAAGAAGAGGATTCAGCACATGCGGACTGTGAAAGGTTGAAGAACAGTGCACAGTGCCTCTTGCCCCATGGTTCTAGTGCCAGCTCTTGTACCTCCGAATGCAGCCTGATATACTCTTCTTTTCCTTTTCAGAGTTCCTTACTGATACATCCAGACTTCGCTTTTCTCACCATGAAGACCTCAGTCATCGCCACCTTTTTTGGTAAGTACAGCTGATCTGCTACATTTATACTAGCTTGAGTAGAGCTAGTCCAAGGATTCCTGGAAAACAACAATATCATTTTAACATTATGAGTCTGCGTGCTTCAGACATTGCCAGTTTGGCTGAGAAACCTGTTGGGATGTTTCCTGCGCTGAAATCCGCTCCATAAAAGAAGATGCACATGGATTCCGTGCAACATGAACACATAGTTCAGATAACTGCATGAAAAACACTCTAAGGTGATCCGAAACTCTGGGAAGTGGGTTTGTATTCCACTGTCCTGGCTGATAGCGGCTGTTGGCTTCTTCTCTTCCTTTTGGGCTCCACAGCTGATGAAGCTTTCAATGGAAGGTGGAGTAAGCCTTGGCACAGAGCTTTTCAGAAACTGCATGCCTGAATGTCCTGGCATACTTGTCATATTTGCAATAGAAAATTTGCCTTAGAAACCCTATTAATTAGTTGGACAGATCTCTAAATATCTGACTAGCTGCATACAGTCTCTGTCAGATAGCACAGATGGGATTGAAAAGTGTCTGTATCTTAATGATTCCTCCAAAAGGAAAATCAGCTATTTCATGCTTTGGAAACATCCCTTCCCAGTTTTCCTGTGAGTCATGCAAGAATGCAAGGCTTTCCATGACCAAGGAGTGCCAAAGGAAAATGGCTGTAAATATGTCTTATTTTCTTTACCTTGGCAGTCAGACAGGATCTTGCTTCTTCAGGAAACATGTTGAGATTCCAGAATTTACATTTGATCTTACCTGAACAACCTGGTTGATTGCAATGAATCAAGCACGATTTCTTTGTATACTTTACTTACACATCTGCCTTTGACAGAGATACAGCCATCATGTAGCCTAGCTGTGCTGTCTGACTTTCATTGCAACATTCCCATGTCCAGCTGGCACCCTCAGAACTAGCAGAAGATCCATGTTTAGCTTCATAGCTATCCACATTGTTCTTCTCTCTTTGCTACAAAGGGCAAATTATTTTCTCCATATGAAATTATGCCCTAATATCGCATGCAGCTACTAGCACTTTGCACTTTCTTTTATGTTGGTTCTCTCTTTCTCTTTTTTTTTTCCTTAAACTAAAAGTTAACCTTGGTAACACAATTACAGCAATGACAAAAGGCCCCAATGCTGCATCTACACACCTTCACTTCAGATACTGTGAGACTGTTTTTTCTTTCAAGCAAGTTCTAAGAGTTATTAAGTTCTCAAACTCTCTGCAGTCAGTCTAGGGGGAGAAGAACATAAAAGAAATAAGACTGCTGTTGTCTTCAGTAAGATTAACCTGACAAGTCATCAGAGGATCAACCAACACATCACAGAGAGTTCTGATTCCCTCTGAAAGCTCAGACAAGGGAAAGGTCAATAGGAAGGTGAAAATGTTTGCAATGAGGCTATTGCCCATAATATATCTCTTATAAGATAAGCGCAGAGAGCTAAGAGTTTTTGTATGTCATACGCTTACCAAGTAAACCTGATAAGGTAAGATTCATATAGAGAGAGACAGTGAGATATGTTTTAACATAACTGTGCTTTTCTCTCTTGCCATTAAAGTTTTCAAATCATAATTATGCTTACTGAAGGAAAACAGTGTCTTTGCTGAGACAGGATACTGGGGCGTGCCACACTGCACTCTCACACAGTCCACAATGCCATGTGGTACCCCATACCTGCTACCACCAGAGACCAATGAGTGAAATTTCACAGTGCACTATTAAAGGATAAACTCCTTGCAAAGGGTGTTAAGAAGGATCTTTCTCTCCATTACTTCCCAGCTGCTTTACGCACACAGCATGTTGCATATCTCTAATATCTCTGTCTCACTAACTATACAGTGCTTCCATTACTCAGGAAAATATCTGGGCCTTTCATGATTTTCTTGACCACGTGAACTCAACAGTGTGTTTTTGGACAGTGAGTTCCACAGATTAATGTGTGAGATGAATTGATCTTAAATCCCTTTGAAAAAACTCACCCACATTAGATACCATCTCGTCTGCAAAGTTCACTAACAAGCAGAAACCAGCTTAGAATATTTCCATTTCATTTCCTCATCCAGTTGAGTCAAACTTAGGAAATCCCATATATAGGAGCTTGTGGTGACTGATGCTGTTATCCACCATTTTCTTCATACTGTTTTTTCTTTGTTCTAGGTGTATTTCTTACATATACATATGCAGCTAAGGAAGCCACAAAGAAGACTAAAAAGGCTAAGCTATGTAAGTGGTCCCAGTAGTATGCTTGATTGTTTTCCTGCAGGCAAGCCGGGTGCAGAAAAAGTCCAAAGTTAAATTACATTTTGGTAACTCTTCACAAAGCTCTGTAGACACAGTGGGAACATATATTGACTAACACATGCTGTTAGTGAAGTCACATCACTGAGCAAAATGTGTACCAATGAACATGTGTGAGGAACATATTGTATGTTTCTCTACTAAAATGTATCTCCATGGACCACCAGGAACCACAGCACCAAGGCTTTCAGAAAGAGGTAGACATAAATATGTGAATGAACCTGCTGTCACGTGAAACACGTGTAGTTAATTAGCATGCAAGAGGTGGCATATGTCCTATGCACAGAGTTGAATAATGTCTAGCTCTTCTCCCATAAAAACATTTCTATTTACAGATTATTTTGCTCTGTTAGTTAACATGCAAGCCTGCTGTGAGGTTTTGAATTCACACTTAGACCCCTTGCGCGAGTAAATTGTGCCCAGCAAATATTTTTAGAAATCAAGGGCAAGATAATGGGATGTGGCTGCAGCCTTGCCTTATAGATGGCACAGTGGTACATGACCATGGAGGGAGGCTTGGGAAGCATCCTGCCTTGTGCATGCACAGTAGTTCCCAGTCCCTACTCACAACTGCGTCTTCCCCTACTGCCTCCTTCCCGTATGTTAACCACAGTCCGAGTGAATAGATTACTTTATCTCCCCAGCAAAGTGTCATAATGGATTTTCCTTCAGAGAAACAAATATTCAAGGTCAGAAATGTCCACAGACTTGTTCAGTCCATCATTAGTTACAGTCACATCCCTCGGCATAGGGGTTGTGTGTTGTATGTAGATGCATGATACGTAAACATCTCTTGTATCCCCAAAGTATTTGTACAAATGTGTGAGAGGAGGGCATCCCTCACCCAGCTCACTCATTTCATGACAAGATCATTCAGCCGTGAAAACATACATTCAATCTGACTTTACAAAGATTTTGTACTCACAGATGTACCCCAGATCGACTGTGATGTCAAGGCAGGGAAGATAATCAATCCAGAATTTATTGCAAAATGCCCTCCTGGATGTCAAGACGTAAAATACCGTGTTTATGGCACAGACATTTATGCTTCTTTTTCCAGTGTGTGTAGTGCTGCAATTCACAGGTGAGTGAGTTTAAATGAGCAACATACTCAGATAGATTCATACTTTCAGTGTAGGGAGCCCTTGGTGTTTCAGATTGTTTAAAGTTGTGAATGCCTTGCAGGTTTGATTGCAGGCTGCTGTTCTGGTAGAAAACATATGAGAAAGACTGTGATATTATGGATCCAATCCTATAAAATGCTGTCAATCCTGCATTCCTATTGAGATAAGTCATGTTTAAAGGTGCTTTTCAACCTTAGGAGAAATGTCTTCAGATTTGCAGATCTCTCATCTATGCATAGCAAATGACTGTTATTGCACTACTATTATTTGAGTGGAAGAAGGGGATAGAGTTGTACTAATAAAGCTTCAGAAAAAAATAGACATATCACCAGTGATGAATATATGCAGCTCACATAGTTCCGGGATTGATTTTGGTTGCCCAGGTTTCAATTTAACCATCCTCAACATCAAATGCTGAGTAATAGGCTTTCTTTCACACCACGGGAGAGGATAATGGACAAGGAAATGCATAGTACACGTTTTGCAAAGTTTTGTTTACCATGTTAAAATGTGCAGAAATCTTTAATAGAGAATAACTTGGCAACAACAGTACGCAACACTTATAAGCAGGATGCAAAGACCATAAGATCCAACTGAAAATGCAGTAAGAACTCGTATAGTCTAACTGGCAACTTGAGTTCATTTTGAGAGCTATTGGAGTGCCTCTAGTTCTGTGAAATAGCTAGGATCTTGAGTAAACATGAATAGCCAAGACTCTGGGACTTGGTACTGTAAACAGTTCCCCTTAACAGCTGAAAAACAGTTTCCTTTAATAGTGTGTTAGGGAACTGCAGCAGCATCAACTGAGAAAGGAAAAGTGTTTTGCAAATCTTAGGTGACACCAGCAGTATCAGCTTCACTCCTCTCCTTCTCGTCTCAGTCCCGTCCTGTGAATTGCTCTAGCCATGTGATAACCTACTCCAGTATGACCTGATGAGACTACAGTGACGCTTTTAGTTGCTCTGGGAATCTCTCTGTAAATTGAGAAGAAGATGCAAAGCATTTAGTTTTCCTAACTAAAACTGTCTGGTATGTGTTCTTACTTGAACATGTAAGAAGATAAAACGTTTTGCTGTAAGGGGTAGTTATCACAAGGCAGCTGAGCTGTCCCTGCGTTGAGGACGACAGCCTAGCGGGAGACTGCATAGATGCAAATCGTGTTAGTAAGCCTTATCTCTCCGTTGCACACGGTGCAGATAGACATGTCTGTGTGTATACCGCTGCCATCTCCTGGCTGCAACCATATGTGCTCAGCTGTTTGCTATGGAAATGACTGTCAAGTGACTGGCCTACAGCAAGCCAATTCTTCCCTCAGATACTTGCACACAATGGAAATTGTGCGTATGCCTCTGCTATCGTAACTTGCCCCAAGTTACGACCTTCATTCAAAATACTGACAGTGAATATCCATAGCTCAAATGCTGGCTGCCTGTGTTTTCGGAGTAGAGGGTCTCAGTTTTCCTTGTTTGTCAACTGAGTTTGGATTTGTTAGGTTATATGTTGCATTTCCACAGTGACCTTCCTTTCCTTACAATTATTTTACCAATAGCATCTTGCAATTATAAGAGAAATTCACATCTCTGACATATGCTTCACCATTTTTTGCTGTTCATTTCTATTTTCCAGTACTGTGTAATTTTTGTCAATTGTATTATCCTTTTATAGTAGCAGTCACCTAGGTTTTTTGTTTGTCTTGAGATACATATCATAACATACGACAAACACCATTTAGTGTGCACCACACATACAACCTGTCAGGTTTTCTACAGCTTTCAATAACATTTTGTTGAGTTTACTCCTGGCTGAGATCAGAACCAACCTAAATTTTCTGTGGGTAACACACGTACTGGAATGCAAAAAAAAATCAGTTTTTATATAACAAAAAGTCATACAAAGAGAGGTTTGCCTCATATTTGTCTAATTATTTCTATTGGATGGTTGGCCCTAAAATTCCTCTGACTCTATCTCCATGTATCTTCAGTAGTTCAATGAGGCTTGCAGGGGTTTTAACAAAAGTGTTCTTTTCTGCAACTAGGTCAAATTTAAACACAGAAGCCTTAGATAAATAGGAAGATCAAACAAACCAAACGGCACTTTATAACAAACTGATCTTCGCTATGCTGAAGAAGTACATGTATTTATTAGCAGCAGGCTTAGCTGTATCTTCATAGTTTCACTATAACTCCGGGTTTAAAGAAAAAAGTGAACATTTCATGCCTCTTGCGCTGTTGAATGGTCTCTGTGTTTCTTGGGAGAATTTCTGCCTTCACATACTCTGTTTCCCCCTTGCAGTGGTATAATTGACAACACAGGTGGGAAGATCCTCGTCCAGAAAGTCGCCGGCCATGCCGGTTACAGAGGGAGCTTCTCCAACGGGGTCCGATCCCTGTCGCTGCCGCGCTGGAGGGAGTCCTTCCTCGTTGCAGGTACTGCAGGAAAGCACCAAGTCCACAGTCAGGCTGCCTAAAGCTGTCAAGACGGGCAGGTCAGGAACAGGCAGGGGAAGGCAAAGCAGTGTCAGCGTAAAGCTTCCCTCTGCCCAGGGCACTGTGCACAGGAAAGGCAAAATGCGTCCTTCACCCTCTGGCGTTGTAAGGGCCAGACCCTCAGCGGCGGTCGGCTGAAAAGCTCTGCGGCAGCCCTTGCTCAGGTACCCTGAATCTGTGTGGTTTATTAGTCTTTCGAAAAAAGGTGCCTGCCTACTCTGTTACAAGAGAACAAGAACAACTGATATTCTGTTCTTCTTTTAAATACCTGTTTATTCACCTGAGGTCTGCCTCACCTACCTTTAGGGCGAATAATAGGAGCCTCTTTATTCTGGGTTTGCTATACAGCCGGTGAAGAGAAGTACACAGTGCTGGAGAGGGTTTTTTTCAGCCAGTCTTAGATCTGAATCCACTTCTGGAGAGGACAGTCATTCTGAACTGACTCTCAGGGGGCGTCTTAGCTCCTGCTATTGATACTTAAAATCTGGGGAGAGGAATTAAGGCCGCACTCCTGAAGCGTAGGTCTTCTTAATGTGCCTCCTCTCCTCCCTGGTAAGTATTGCCAGTAAGGGGGGCTAAATGACCTGTTGGCCATTTGGAGTACCCTCAGTCTGCATTCGAGTCCGTGCCCTCCGAAACGACTGACGTATTCCGGTGCTTTTGTTTAGGTTTTGCAGCAAAGGCAGGTGGGCTGTCATGTGCTAGGTTTTGAAGGTTTCCTTCACTGCTGTAATGCATTTGCACGACAGTTGTTGGCCACAGTGACCCACATTCTCCAAGTTCCTTGTTAAAATTAAATATGCATAGTTTATTTATATACCTACATATTTTAAGCTAAAACCGTTCCACCCATCTCAAGCCATACACAGCCATAATGTATTTATGCAGAACCCTATATTAAACAATCATATTGATGTAACCCAAACATGTTGTTAGCCACACAGTTTCAGTAACTACTCAGCACAAGGAAATCCACTTTAATTTAATACTAACTCCTTTTTCTCCCCATAGTGTACAGCAACATACTATATTACCTTGGATTCACTGATAAAATTCACAATTTTTTTGTAAGTAAGTTAGATCTCCTTTACACCAGCTTCAGATTCTCTCAAACCTACTTGCAGCCATTGTGCCCCTGTGAAGGAGGGTCTAGTTTACATTGCTTTATGTACTATTTCTAAATCTAACTTCTTGCAGCATCCATACATGCGGTCCAGACTTCTCCTGAGGCTTTAGGATGGGCATGATCAGCTAATGTTAGTTAACTACATCACTTCTGGAAAAATCAACAGTTCAAGCAGCTGAACAGCCACTAAAAATAAAGAAATGTTCTTTTCATGTGAAAATTTGTGAACAGCACAGGAGGTCTCAGAAACTGACCAAAATGAACTGCCATCTGGAATCTGCATTAATATATTTGGATGCACTTTTTTACAGCATTCTGCCATGGGTAGACCACATTATGAGAGGGATTTATTTTGGATGAGTAGGAATTTCCTGGAACAGCTGAATTGCTGCTTGTACTTGTTGCTGTTTTTTCCCCAACAAACAGCACATTGTAATTCTGGTACATAAATGGGAAATAAGAATTTTTTACCTCGGTAGCTGCTCAGTCGCTATTCTGTGAAACTAAACGAAGTTTTGATTTATAGTATCAAATCTTGATTCTTAATTAATAAGTCACTATAAAAGACGAAACAGGAGAAAGTTACAAGTGCATGTAAGACGAGATGAGAAATCAGGGTACATACAGGCATGATGACATTTGTCCTTCATGCACTTAATTGTACTCATTCTGAGTGGTCCCACTAAAGTCAGTGGAACTACTCAGTTTATAAACTACTTCAAGCATTACAGCAAATATAATTCATAATATGTTGGTAGGAAGGAAATCCTCAGTGTGCCTTCTGAAAATGTGGATTTGTATGTGAGAAATTTAGAAGAATAAAAACCCAGGAATCATCTCATTAGCCTGAGGCTGAAGGTAGACAGATTCCATTCTCAAAAGGGGAAAAGATTTTTTTTTTTTTTGCAATTATGAGCCAATAAAAATACAAAATCATCCAACAAATTACTTTCAGGACAGCTTGCGAGCTTGAACTGAATCACCTATCCTCCAGCCGAGTTCCCTTTTAGTAAATCAAAAATGTATGTGATATTTTACCCTGAAAAAGTGCTGACAGGATATTATCACCGAGATTTTTGTGATATTTAAATTGTGGATAAGCATGCAAACAAAAGAGCACTGAAGAGGAATCCTTCAGGGAGCCAGGCAATGAAGTGGCGTGATTTAGGAGCAGTGGGGGACAAGGCTTGTCCTCTGGGATTAAAGCAGGGAGCACACCAGGAGGTATGCAAATGTACTGGTATTCGCTTTCAAGCACTGAAATGCCTTGGCACTCAGTTGAATGACTCCATTCAGTGTAGTGGGAGTTTTCAGCTCCTGGGTTAAGAAAATAGAGTCCTAACCCTCCGGGTTTGCTTGTTACAAATAAGCTTGAGAGGGTGAGCAGCCACCACCTCATTGCTTGTACTTCAAACAGGCAGAAGTTGAGGTTTTCAATCCACATTTTTAGGTATGTTAAGCAAAGTCTAGCCTAGATGCAACTTTTTCCAGATGATGCATCAATGGCAAGGACATATCACCATTGCGCCGGAAAGCAGGGCCACACTCCGTCCAGGTCTCAGACCTACCTCTGGACCACATACGGGACCCAAGCTGCTGCTTAACAAAACCCCCAGAGTTCAGGAGCAGCCAGCCTCCACATGCCAGCTAGCTTATCTGCACAATGGCAGACTTCAGATTTGCATTAGAAATCAGGTTAGCACAGAGAGATTCTAAATTAAAGTTTTGTTATTGCATTATTGCTGCATCTACGTAACAACCACTTACACCTGACAATTCTACCTCTGTCAGAGATAAAGAAATGCTTTCAGTAATCATTTGTTACCAAGCAACTTTTTCAGTTTCCTACCACATTGGCAGAAGGGATCTCTAATCCTACTTTGCTGCTGCAAGAAACAGAAGATCCTGATCCCAGTTTCAGCTATGCTTAAAGCCCAGGGGAAAGTGGAAGTCAAGACCTGCTGCCTTTCACTTAGGCCAGCTCCTGTGAGAGACAGGGGGCGAGGGGGAAGTTCTTTTCCACAAGAAGGTGGCAGGTACTTACATGTTAATTTGCCAGCTTTGGTCTTCAATGGAGCTATGTTGACTTCGGTGGAGCTACTCTCATTCTCTTTCTTTTGTAAATGAGAAATGGAATAGATCCTTACACCATCACCTTGTTGCTAAATTGCGTTAACTCTCAAATTAATTTCTTCACCTAGGACATGTAATGTCTTCTAAAACTTGAGAAGGAGGAAAAATAAAGGTACTAGAGACATAAAAAGGGACAGAACTGGAAATTAGGACAGTGCCTCTCTCACTCCAGGGATGAGCGCGGTCATTCCTGCCTGTAGAGGGCCAGCTCCACAGACACGCATCCTTCCCTGTGCACTGCCACAGAGGAAAGAGATCTCTCAGTTTCCAAGTGTGATTCAGTCTGTAGCAACTAATTCTCTTCAATGCTGTTGGCCTCCAGACTGATCACCTAAGATGACAGCTATCAGGCTTGCAGTGCCATATACACAGATCTAAAAGAATCCACAGAGGGAATAAGGGAAAGCAAACCGAGCACCATGACTGAGGGTTTGCAGGAGCTGGAGGGAGAGGTAGGTCTAACCTGAGCTAGCACAGATGTATGACACAGCACAGCAGCTCATAGAGAGAGTCACTTGGGTCCAGAAGTCCCATGTCCACCACATCCAAGCTCCTGCAGATGAGTTGCAAACAGCTCCTAGAGGCCAGAGGGGTCTTCAGTTTCCTGGGCTTCACTGCAGCATTTTTCATTCACTGGTGTAGATATGCCTTAGGAATATTAGAAGCGCCCCATGAGATGGAACTGCATGGTGGCACGTGCCAATGGAAATGACATCTAGTGTGGCACTAAAAAGATTTGTGGTTTCGAGCTTCAATGGGAAACGCACCTCATTCTTTTAAGACAGGACCCTCATTTTAGGTCTAAATATAGCTATCATATGCTCCCACACACAAATGCAGCCTTCTTTCACTGTTATTACTGCAAAAGACTGTTGCCAGAAACAGCATATCACAAAAGTGAGGTTAGAAAAGAATGTTGTGTGCTTGAAGAAAGGAATCCCACATCAAACATGCTTTCTAACTCAACTGGATAGTCGGGCGCTGGAAAAGGCTACCTAGGAAGGCTGTGGGTTTAAGTACAGGTTATATAAATGCCCTTATACTTAACGCTGCCTGAGAGCAAAGGAACGAACTAGCTGACCTCCTCAAAATGCTCCCAGGCCTGCATTTTTATGCTTTCCTTTTTTTATGATGCTCAATTTAGGCACTGGTATTTTTAGTGGAATGGTTTTGAGATTCTACCATGAGATGAAGGACGTTTTAAAGAAAATGAGTTGATTGGCAGAGAAGCAGGGTCTGAGTCTGCACCTATATGTCAGATGGGAGTTTTGGTATAAGAAAACTTACGACTCTTCAAACGCCAACCACACATTTACCTGTTGCACTGTGGCACTCCTTAGCTATTTGGAGTACTTTTCTCCTTTCTGTGACCATGACTCTACTCTGTGATGTTATTTAATGATTTTTTGTAGAGGGCAAGCCAAGGAAAGGTGTGACGTACCCATCAACTCTTGAATATTCTTCTTCAAAAAGCACGATTGTTAAATCAGGCAAGTAATTTTGACTGACCTTCCCTCGAATCCATTCATACCTATGTGTTGTGGTGTCTCAGTTGTGTAAGACAAAGGTTTGATTGTTCAGTGTCTGAAACTAATGTACCTGTTTTGCTCATCAGTGTTAATATCTCATCTAAATGCCTCTCCATAGTTTTTATGTTAAGCATATGGAAAATATTCCAGACAATTTCTGGGGTTTGTTCTATTTTTCCACAGAGTGTCTGTTCCCAAGTAGTTTCCCCCTTTGCTTTAAATCTGTTTGAAAGTATGACGTTGTACTGGTTATATGAAATCATTTGAGATGTTACATGTTCACTTTCTCCTAACGTTATTCATGTTATCTCTTGGGACATTAAATGTGGAGTGTAATAATAGATAATAATATAATATTAATGATAAAGATGGCAATTCACAGCAGCCCTAGCTAAGGATCATATGATAAGGACCAGTTCTCTATAACCATTTTAGTTTGCATCCTAACCTGTCAGACCAAACTCAGTTTAAATAATTTAGTTATTCTGAAAGGTCTTTGATCAAGTCTTGCACCAGGTGGTAGTGGATATTCAAGTGTAAAAGAAGTGACTCCATCACCGAAATGTCACTTGTTTGTGCCCCCTGTAACAATAGCATAATGTCAGGCTCTTCCCTGGGAGTGTGAATGAAAGCAAAATTAATGTCTTATAGTACCATACTTCCCTATTAGCTGTTCCTAGCTGCCATGGCTCTTTTGCTGAGCCTGAACCTTACTGAGCTTGTCCACCGTGAGCCGTGGCGTAATGAAATGTGCTGTAGCTTCTCCATGAACTCAAGCACTTGGCAATGGGTGTACCCATCCACCGTCCAAGACAACAGAGATAACTTGGAGTCTGGGCTGTTCATCTCTTCATTATTGTTTGGTCTGTGGAGGTAAATTGTAAAGCTCTTTCCTCATCTTTATGCTTTTACTTGCTCAAAGGCACTTTTACATCTGAATGCTGCAGGTGTTTAGACTGAATATGCATCACTCCAATCCATGCAGTATCCTTGCATTTACAACCAGATAGGTACAGATGCATACATGCTCCTTGACTAGGCACATAGACATCAGTAACCTAAAAATTATACTCTTCTAGAAGGGAGGCAGTAGCTTGGAAATTTTATCTTTTTCCAGGAAAAGTTCACTAAAAAAAGATGTCTTCATTCTTGACTGTGCCCACATTTTAAGTATCATCAGCCCAAAGTATAACGCCAAACCAGGAACTATCACAGCCAAGGTATTGCTCAGCAGACTGCAAGCAATGATTTCTTCCATAAGTGCAAAAACCCACATTACATGAGAAATAGTGTAGGAATGGGGAGCATTCTCAAGTCACATCTCAGTTATAGAAACAAAATATCTGAAGACTGTTCCTGCAGCAATCCAAAGATGCTAGCAATTTCTTTCACTTTGTTCTTGAATGAAATAGTATGAATGAAAATGTTAGGCTCCTAGTAACAAAAACTGTGCATTCATGCAGTGAAAACCCAGGATGACTGTAGGACCAAATAATATCTGTTTTATCAAATGCAGTGCTTGAGGACTCCACAGCCCTCTCTCACAACCAGCAAAGAGCTCTGACCACTCAACTTTTTCCTGAGACCTCCTTTGCCCCACCGCCTCAGCCCTGCCCTCTCAGACCCACTGTGATAGAAACAGCTTGTTCCTAGTGTAAGATCTCTGTAATGTGGTGCTAGAGCCATCTTGTGATAGAGAATTTCCTACTTTTTTTTTAATTTAAAAAAAAACTACTTCTTTTTTTCTGATTTAAGTTATAGAGACCACATTACATAGTTGGATACTTAAACCCACTATCTCCAGGAGCTAAAGGGATTCCTTTGAGGATTACACACACTCACTACCAGGATAGTAGAAAATCTTGCTTCACACCTGATCAGCTGTCAGAGATGCAATTTTGGTCCTTGTCCCAGGGGCACTGGAGATTCATAGTGCCTGACATTTCTTTAAATATTGCTGATGGTTGCAGTGCCCTCCAAACACTGGGTATAGCAAGAAAAACCTTCCCAGAATTACAGTGATTCACAGCTGGTAAAAGCACCCAACAGCTGCTGGTCTAAAAAATAATTCAAATTAATAGAAAACTATTAATCCTGGAATAATTTCTAAAATAGGTCAATGCTAGAGAAGAGAAAAAAAACCCATAAGATCAAAAACCTCCAGAACTCAGTCAGTTCTACAAGCAAAGGCTGTTGCAGGGTAGCGATAAATGAACTGTAATAAATGTTCCAAATACTTTGATGACTCTGGGTCTTAGAAGAAAAAAAGACCGAAGAAAAAGTCTTTCCTTCTAAGCCAGTGCATGGAATTCAGGATTTGGCCCCATGATGATTTGACAGTGTCAGACAAGAAAGAACTGCATCTGAATGTGAATTAGTTACTGAAATATCACATGCCAGCTAGTGTTCACCACACACATTGTGACCCTGATTCTCAGGACACTGCGACTTACAGGAAAAATCAACAACATGATCAATTAATCTTATGAGTTTAGGTTTGTTAGTGACAAAATCCCATGTTTATTGCTCACTTCTGAGGTTCTACTAACATTGGCAGGAGCTTTTGGATAGGTACCAAAAATAGGGGGTGACGGTTCTCTAGAAGCAGCTATCACTTTTTCTCATCTGGCGAGAAAGCCCTAGTGAGACTAGCCTATCTAAGCTAGGCAACAGGATGCCTCCATTTGAGGACTGCTAATCTCTAAATAGGAGACTTAAAATTATTTTCTCCCAAAGCTGCATTTTCTAATATGCTTAATTTTGCTTCAGAGCCTAAAAAGTCAGAGCAAGACATAAAAGCTATGAAGAATGCCAGCACCTCGAACACATCAGAAAAAGCATCAGAACAAGGTATGGGTTGGGGATCCTGGCGCTGCTTTCCAAAGTCCGTGGCATTATCCCTCCCAGCCTAAACCACCCACAAACAGTTATAGGAATATATAGGAGGCAGTTTCAAATAGGAAACACTTACAGCTCTACTGCCCTATGCAGCTCCCACGGGAGCTCCTAGGACCTGTGCCTGAGGGTGTGTGACAATTCGGAGAAGAGAGGGCACCCTCACAGCTTAGCTTCTGCCTGTGTTTTGGGCGAGTTCGCCTGTCCTGACCTTCAAAAGTCTGCATTACAGCTCTCAGTTATTTCCCATGCAGAAAATGTGTCCTGCAAACCCTGTCGAGATGCTATGATGGAGATGGACTTCCTGCCTGCAGGAGCACTGGAAAGGACCAGTCGTCCCGAACGCTTCTGTTGCCCTAAAGGCTCCACCAGTGTCCGAGCCAGCACGTGCTGAGGCAGCATCTTGTCTCTGCTCTTTGTATGATATTTCCTTGTCCCTAGGTTTTCTGCTGTATTGTTAGCTCCAGGCTTCTTTGCTCCTTGCAGCCTAGGGTATAGAGACCACAGATATCCCTGCTGCCCGTTTCTGCAGCAGCAGATCACACGGGAAGGATCACTGCGTCCTCGGTCTTCTTTATTTTAGTGCCCCAGTGTAGAGAAGGGCGCAGTTCAGCCCCAAGAGAGCCATTCATATTGATTTTTCAGCTGAGTTGCTTCGCTTTTCTTCCAAGCCCTCTTTCAGCATTATCCCATTAAAACTGCCCGAGATCTGAATTTTTTGCTGGCTAGCATTAGGTAGTAATTAATCCACTGGACAGTTTCGTGATGATGCTTTACAAAAGGAGAGCATGCAGGAATAAAATATAAGCCTGTGCTGTGCAGCAAAGAATAGACTGCATAAAGACACACCATTCCCTTGCAGTGCACACAGTCTGTCAGGCCATCCCTGGAGATACGGGCAACGAGGAAAGGAATAAGACTGAGGTCAACATGGCTTATATTTTAGAGCAGTTTTTTGTAGATAGATGGAGAAGATACCAGTGAAGGATTTTTTTCTTAAGCTGATGACTTGAAATAATAGTAAGCATGTCACCAGTTTTGTATGAGGATATATAGGGCGTACATTTTTGCAGCTAGAATTGTCTCTTCCTCTCACAACAGATGATAAACCTTAAAAGTTGTATCAACTGTGAAATGAATCAAAGTTAGGATGAAATCAGCACATCAAAGAGTTTCTTCTCCCCTGCTCATCCCAACCAAAGCCATAATGTTCTCAGTTCTGGTTCAGACCAGCTCCCTGAATCATTATTTTTCTAAAAGTTGTCATTTGTCCAAAAGCATTTCAGTGCTGTGGTAGGCAATGCATATCTTATTCCGGTCTATGACTCCAAAGTTGCCATCTTTTATTACCAGATGTCAGCTGATTTCCATTTATATGGACTTTCTGATTGCCTAATTACACTGAGAAAAGATGACAGCAAAACAGAAACTGCAACTGCAACTGGCTGTTTGATCCGTTTCATAGCTCTGAGACATCTGTCAGGTTTATAGGTTTTCCTGTTCAAGGTAGAGAGAACGTAGGGGAAACATTAAGGCTACGACAGGTCACTGTCAGCACTCTCCAGAGAGCAGTGTAATGCTGTGTCACGCAGGCCTGTGCCTTATGTATCTACACAGCAATGAAGGTACTAATGGATTCAAAGATGATGATGCTTGTAGATAACCTGAGGAAAAAGTCGGCATCTTGGTTGCCTTAAACAGTGACACTATTAACGATGCTTCCATGTGTGTCACACACCCAACTAATGACATGCACTGATTTGTTTCAATGTTCTTAAAGGCAATACAGTCCGCAAAGAGTACCAGACGCCTCCGGTAGCAATATCAACTACACAAATTGCCGCCACCACCCCAACACCAACAACCACAACAACAGATCCTTTCACTACAACACCAAAACCAACCACAGCACCTGCGACAACCAGAACCACAACAGCTGGAGCTGCAGCCAAGTCTCGACCTGCACTACATAGAGTCAGAGATACAGGTCAGTAGCATGAACATTTTTTTCCTGAAGCATTGGGGTTTTTTTTCCTAAAGTTGGAGTTTTCCTAAAATTTAAGGAACAGGACATGAAGTTAAATACGCCATTATTTAGTAGATCACGAACATGTTTTCAGCAGTTTAATGTAGAAATATAAATAGTAGATAAAGAAATTCATTCCAGCAGATGGGATGGAGTTAGTAGTTGCAGTATTGCCTTTGAGATACGTACAAAATGAGTGTGTTTCTTATAAACTAAACAATGTATGTAGATTATGCGAGGTAAGAGTGGCTGTATTCAACTTAGTTCATCTACAATTCGCAATGCAGTTATGGCTAGTCCTTATCACTACCTATAATATACCAACATGTAACTTGTTTCATGTGGGAGTAAACTCTTCATCCACAAATGCTTTTGCAATTTTCAGATATAATAGTTAACAAATATTTCTTTGATTCATATACGTGGACTGGGAGCGCAACAAACAGGTCAAGACTTAGTTTAGAATTAATTTTGTGATAACTTTCCGACAAGTGGGAGTTGTAATATATGGGGTTTTTTAACAACTCTTGAATTTTAAAAATGAAACCACCCTAAAAGAATTCTTCTCGTATGATTTTTGCACATCCAGGTTTCCTCAATCTTTTGTTCTTCCCTTCATTTCATTAACGTTACTTTTTTGGTTCAACCCCTGAAAGACAAAATCTCTTGTTTTTAGGCTCTAGCAGCGTCCACCCGGCATATTCATCTGTGGCAGCTGCAGCATCAAGTAAGTATGGTGAAGAAATATGTGCCACGAGACATGGAGTACTGTGTATTTTAAGGCAGCAATGAGTCAATAACAACCTTTAAAGCTTCAGCAAACTCAACACTTGAAGCCAAGTCTGGATATAAACCAAAAATAGACACTTGATGTGATTGTCAGAGATGCTAATCATCCACGGCTTTGGAGAAGCCTTTCTAGTGGATATCTGCACATTTCAGCCGTGACAAATGCTAGGTTTGGCTACACCTGAGATGAAACCTGTCCTGTTTGAACTGTATTTTCATATTGCCTTCTGCAGTCTTAGCCTCTCAAAGATTTGAGTTAGTTGTAAGATATATAATACAGATGGTTGCATAGCTATCTAAACTTAGAGCTGAGAGCTCTGAAACGCTGACTTAAATTAGACCAACGCTCTTTCAAAAACCTCAGGCTGTGGTTCTGAGGCTGGCATAAATGTGATGTTATTCCTGGCATCACATTTGTGTTATTGACAACAAAAATCATGGCTGTTCAAAGCTCTTCATCCTGGTCCAGAAGCCTCCTTCCATTCTAGCCTGCAGGCTGCAGAACAAATATTTAGAGGAATTTTCCCATACAATGTGCAATTGCTCAGCTGTGCAGTCAAGTACAGGAGAATATTTTCAGCTGTTTCCGAGTGCTGGAATATGATTGCTTTCAGATAAAAAGGGAGGGGGGGGTCATCATTAGGTTTTATGTTCTGCCACTATTTCTGAGCGCCTTGAGCTCAGTTCTGCTCTCACAAACATGGCTAGAGCCATCCCTGCAGCCTAATAATTCAGAGCCAAAGCACAGGGCAGGTATCTTTTGGCCAATTCTGGTGTTGAGGGAAAGCATCATTAAGTCAAATTTATCTGCAAGTCCAGAAATCTCTGACCTCGCTGTGTCTACCTGGAAAGCCCAGGGAGAAGGAAATGGGACGAGGTGAAAAGTTTTTTCACCCTCTGGGAGAGCTGTAGCCAAGCCTTTCAAAGAGTGTGTGTATGTGAGAGGAGCGCTCCATGTCCTGCCTACTCACACGAAAGGGGCAACAGCTACCTGAGGTCCCATATCCATCCCCCTTCATTAATTCTCTCCTCTTCTGAGGACTAAGCACAAGTGACCCTTGGCAGGATCTGTATGCTCCTGCCCTCTTCTAGGATAGGCGCAGGTACTGGGGGTTAATCTTACAGAGCAAAATTTGCAGATAGGTGTATGGCAGGATTTACTGAAGTGCCAAAACAGTTCAAGAAGGGTTAGATTCACTATGAATCTGCCTCATTTGGCAGCTAATGTCCCCATACACCTGGTCCTATTTGTTGTTTTCTTTTCCATTTCACGTTCCTGCAGGCTGAGAACAAATGAGGGTGAGAACAAATGAGGCCTTTACTGTTTCTACTGACAATTAGAAAAACCTATTTGAGGTTCCCCAGTCAGTAAGAGGTCCATCTTAAGAGTGAAGTTCTGGCAGCACTGAAGTCAGTTTGAAGGCTGTATGTCTTTATAAACACCAAAGTTTTAGCCAAAAATTGAAAAAAATAAAAATAAGAACCTTTCCCTTTTGCGACTCTTTCTAAAGCTACCTCATTGCCATTTCGGATGCATGTCTCTTCATAATGTTCCTCATTAAATTTCTAATGTAAATTATCCCCCAAAGAATAAAATGTCAGATTTAGGGAGAGGTACTTGTGAGCTAGAGAAGTAGTGGTGACTTAACTTCTGATTTCATGAACTTTATTTTTAGGACCATCTCCAGCATGTCTGTACTTGGTATTTGGCTTCCTAACTTCTCCTGCTCTCTTTTTGATTCTTAAGAGGAAAAACTGGCTAAAAACCCCACAAATTACAATATATTTTTGAAGCTATAACCATACATGGAGTAGTATCATCAGCTTTTTCTGTCTGAGGAAATTTCAGGGCTCACTCTTATTGTTCAGACTGGAGTGTCTGATGATGCCTTTGTCTTTACCACAGTTTGGTTTAACTGGACTCCGGAAAAAATAAAGACACCTCGCGAGCAGAACCAAATGCTCTCCTGTCTGTCTTGGTTCCCAGGGGCTCACAGATCTACCTCTCACTATATTGGTAGTTTGCCTGCAAAAGACACCTCGGAAGTAAATACCCTTGAAATAGAGCACAGTCAGAATAAGCACGGCTGTGGCTACTGTTAGCTAAGGTGTTTCCATTTCCAGCCACTGGCATTGGCAAAAGTTCACAGGACCAAAAGCAAAGCAGGACTTACAGCTTTCAGTGCTAGAGCAGGAGGCTAAAACCCTCCATCCTAGCCCTTGCTCTTCTCGTACTTCCTTTCCCTTTATCTTCCGTAGTTGTCAAAGATATCGAACCAGGGAAAATACCTGACATTGCTCCACTGCAGGACCCCCTGCTTTAAACATTTTGATGGGGCAGAACTGCTAAATGTGAAACTAAGCAAGTAGCTTGACATTTGACAGCTTGTTCCTGTGTGCCTTACTGAAGAGTGCAGTGCTTCCCTGCGGCAGTACACACAAAAGGACTCTCCAGAGGGGAATAAATGACAAGAGCAGGCTTTGAAAGGAGATCCAGACTCTCTCTTGCCCTGGGCAGAACTTAATTTCAGTCACACTATAGTACAGCCATGGCTTTTGCTTCTTCCCAACAGCAGCTAACCAAGCACATGCCCAAGTGCTGCAAACGCGTTCGCCCTCTGCAGTCGCAGCTCTTCCAGCAATAATTTCCTGCACAGCTGCTTGGACCCTGGACAAGGACTGGGTATAAATCCAGTGCTTCTGTGGACTCTGGGGTCATAGTCAGTCATATCACCAGCCTACCACATGTAGACAGAGAGCACGGTCCCGTGTTAAGGCGCCGAGCTGGCAATTCAGCATCAGCCAGCAAGCACCTGGGCGTCCTTAGGCAAGTCACTGCCCTGTACTTGGTGCCTATCTCCGTTCAACTGTTGCATCTCTCTTCTCTAAGCTGGTGCTATCTGCCACTCTGCTCTACAGCACTTTCTGTCCCCAGCTGAGAGCACAGGTTTGGCACTACTACAGTAGCAAGAAAAGAAAAAAAGAGGGGAGGAGTATGGAGGGAAACAACAGTACTGCAAATGCTATAGAAAGTACTGAAAGGTCTTACCCAACGGTGCTTAACCATCAAGGTTTATATGCACAGGAAGCACTGGAGAACAGCTGGAGTTTGGATGCTGGTTTTTCCCCTTAGGTTAACCCTGACCCACACAGGGTGCTGACAAAGTTGCAGCAGAGCCTCCCTGCCACTCATGCTTTGGAGTAGCTGCTCACCTTCTCATAAGGTGAGAATCACTTGCAAGGTCCACTCCCAATTGTGTTTCTCTCTGCTGCCCTTGCGGCTATTTTGGCCCATCCTTTACTGCCTCCATGCCTCCCTGCTCACTACAGGGCTTGGTCCCAGCCATGGGCTGAGATCAGTTTCTAATCACAGAGTTGAGCAGTTCCACAGCATATTTGCATGTCGCTGATCCCAAACCCCGGTTAGCTGTCTGTTCTGCCTGGCCATATATTTTCTGAGCCCTCCAGAGCTGGTCTCAGTTTTGCATTGCATATTCATTCCTTGAACTATTAGCTGCTCATTATTTACACCCATTCTCACTATTTACAACCACATCATCAATCTGAAATGGAAGCTCTCTAATCTGAGTATTTAAAAGGCTTCTCTGCTCCACTGCTTTAATTTCTGACCCAGTTCTTGGGCTTCACTCAGTGACTACCCATCCACATTTCTTTACACATTTCAGCTCCTGCACAGCTCTGCTTTAATGAATCCTCACATTCACATGCCACAGATGGCCTTGAGGCCCTAGAAGGGCAATGCCAGTTTCTCCCCTTTACCATCACCATGTTTGTCCCAGTCAACGAAGACGGCAGAAATCAGGTTACTGTGGGGCTGCTGGTAACATGCCTTTAGGAGGCACAGCAAGAATAAACAGCCCCACAGCCCAGCACAGTCAAAAGGAGCTGAAAAGGAAAGCTAGGCTGCCAACAGGGGTGCGAAGGGCATGGCAGGCATGGATGCAAGTTTGGTGGCATAAAAAATTTCTAATACTGACATATTTTTCTCTTACCCCTCTCATACTCTGCTGCTACCGTCCTTGTAGACAGTGTTATGCACTGTTCAGTTGTGGCAAACCCAAAATCAGGAGAGCTCTTGGGCTCAAAGTTCATCCTCTTCAGGCTCTTTGGCACACCCCGATCTCCAGTGTGGGAAGCGTAACCTGCAAAAACTCCATACCACACTGCTGTGCAAACAGATATTTCTTGCCAGAACCTGAACTCTCAGCCTCATTTGCTAGCCAAGGGTCTTCAGGAGCAAGAGCTTGTGAACAGGTTTATGGAGTTTAAAAGCCTTGCCAGTTTTGGCAGATAAGCTTATTATTTCCTTAAACAGGAGCTATTTGGCTTCTGGAGTTTAGAAGGTCTCTCAAGGTGGCTTCTAGAAATCCCATTCCAGGGCTTCCAATGGCCTGGAAAAGTCCCAGTTTGGGTCAACTATAAAATATTTGCTGTCACCTAATTTTGCAACGCCAAGCCTCAAGGAGCAGTAATCCCTATTTTCTGAAGCAGCCTTTCAATATGGTGTCATTTATGATATCTTATTGATAAAAACCTCTCATGGGCCTTGGTCCAAAGTTCACAGAAGTCAGCTAAATATTCCCATTGATTTCAGCAAGCTTTGCAATTAATCTTTACTGGGAAAGCCAATGAATAAAAGAATAAAAGCTTACTGAAGAACAAGTTTGTTAACAAGCTTCTTAAGAATAACTAATGAAAGGAAAGGCATGCCTGAAGACATAATTTTCATCTGCAGAGCCTTCAGGATTTTTCAGCAACAGGAGCTTAAAGTATTGATCCAATCACCTTATAAAAGCCTTTCATGAAGACAGTGATGAAGACATTTCAGACACATGAATTCTCTCACACTCATATTGTCATTGTCTCATTATTTACAGTCTACCTGCTTGCTTGTGTCCGCTTATTGTCTTTTGTCGCAGGTTGTAAGCTATCCGCGGGAAGGGTGGTATTTGGTCTGGTTTGGTATTTCCTTCCTCCCACAGCCAGCACAATTAGATGGTACTGAAATATAAATAAAAATAGATAACAAGTGGAAGTAACTGAGATAAGGAAACTTTTAATAGGAAACAAATCACAGCAATAACTGCAAGTTTTTTAAATGCAGACCAGAGTCCTATTCCAATAATATTCATAACTGGAGCGAACGTTAACTAACCTTTTCTATATGACAGAACAAAGCAATTCTCTTCTAAGCTGACTGCAACTATACAACATTAACAACTGAGAAAGTATGCTAATGAAAACTCTCTATATATGAACTATTAATTCCAACAGCTATAAAATGAGACAAAATGGAAATCCCAGGTAACAGTAGTCTTGAACCAAACATTGTGTAAGTTACACTTTTCCATTCTGATGTCTACTTAGGACAGATCCAGGCTGCACAAGGAAGAGGACAGACTTTAGGTATGTTTTAGATTAATAAGAAGTAGTAGATTTTTATCACTAGAATACTAGAACACATTATGTTTAAGTTCCATGTACTAACCAATATGTTTCCAAAGCATTCAGGGGCACTTCCACCTCCTCAAGTAACAGGAATATTTTACGAACAAATACAGGTAAAGGCATTAAAATCTCTTCTCTAATTTCTCCCTGTGGCTAGTTCCACCACTCACCTCTACGGAGACATGTAGTAATGTGTTGTATTTCCACTCCTAATCACATTCTTAGCAGGATGCAGTGTTAGCAGGCATCACATTGGTTATTGCATGTCAATAGTACAACTTTTAGAGGAAAAAAAAAAAAAAAGAAATGGGTATAATTCTACTTACAATTGTTCTCAATATAGAATTCTAAACCCATTTATAAGGGTCTTCTATAACATTTCCTGTTGCAAAACAGCAAGAGAACTTTGTGTGTGTGCACGTTTGGGCACCATTGGCCTGACCCTTAGAGGAGATAAGTGCTTTCAGTTTCCAGGGACTGAGCATGATCAGCACCGCATAGGACCCGCTGTCTGTTGTTACAGTGCACAGGTGAATAGCTGCATTGTGCAGCACTGACTAACATTTAAACCCATTTTTACTTTTGGGCCCCTTTTCTGCTTTTAAATTCTCTTTTTTTTAATCCATAGTTTCGATTTTCCTTTTCCATTTGGTTCGAAAACATGTACAGAAAGACAGTTTGGGGCCACTCTGTGCCTTGTTACCATGCTTATGTCTCCTAGCCAACTGATGTCTAACCTCTAAGCTTTTTTTGTCAAATCATGCAGGTATTCAGCGCCAAGAGCCTGTTGCAGCCTTCCGAAAGCGTGCCGGATCTCCAGTCCATCTGGGTGAGCAAGATTGTTAGGAGTAGTTTTTCTGCTGTCTTGCTTAGTTTTAGTAATCCAAAATAAACCCACAGGCAGTATTTGAGATTGTTTTCATGTATTCTGGAGGAACACCAGAGCAATCCCCATGTACTGAATGCTAACTAGCAGCTTCCTGAATGTGAAAAGCAAAGGACAAGCTCAGTCACTGGTGAGCTGTTGTTTCAGGCTGTGGGAATGAACATCTACCACAATGTTTGCAATTTTCCTTTTTTGTTAGTCAAAATGTGGAACAAAAAAAAAAAAATCAGTTCTGTATAGCCTGTCAGGTCTATCAGCAAGCTAAATTTTCTTTTCTTCCTGTTATTCCCGGAAGCCTCCAAGCTGAATGCAACCATGGAGATTGCCTTTAATACTGAGTAGAAACATCAGCTATACTTTCCTTCTTCCCTGTCTGTGCAGTTCATTAACCTGTTTCATCAGCGAGCAGACCTTACAGGGGGGGTCTCTGGAAGGCTACTGACAACTTTACTTGACTCCAGAGCACCCAGTTTATGTGTAAATATTACTTCTCACTTGACCAGAGAGCAGAGTTTCTCAGATGCGGCTTTTGTCAGGGAGCAGCCAGAGCTGGCTGCTCCAGCAGGGAAGGGTGCCAGATGATGGCACGGCAGGCAGGACAGCACTCACCGACAAGGGCTGCAGACCCACGGACCCCAAGTGAGCAGGACAGAGCAGGTGCAGTGGCAGTGGACAGGGCCAGCTGACAGCCCAGACAGGTCCAAACTGACGAAGGAGGTCAAGGCAAGACATCAGGCCAGGAAGGCAAGGTCAGGCTCAGCGTGGTACAAGGCTGAGCACAGGCAAACTCGCAGTGCATCTCAGGCACAGAGCAAAGGCAAGCGTCTGAGCTTAACTGCTGCTCCTGAACTGCACGGGTGGAGGTCCCCAAGGAGGCTTCTCATGGCTCAGCTATGTCACCAAAGCTTGGTCGAAGGCTGTGCTGTGTCAGAGCTGCCCTTGAACATAGGCAGCCAAATCCCCTGGAGAGGGACAGGCTGCAGAGCCTGCTGGTCCACTCAGCACTCTGACAGCTTTGCTGAGGGCTAGAAAGTACACAGCAGGGATATTGCAAAAGGAGCGAGCAATATAGAGGCTATTATCGTGCAGTAAGACTTCCTGGATAACACAGGCCGAGTAGGTTTACCCAGCAACGCCTCCATCAAAATGACAATTTGTAGTTGACCTAGTTAGAGTGTGTTTAAAATGGGTACCCACTCCTTCTCCTCCAAAGGTTTACTCTGTTCCCTCACTTTTCTACTCCTCCTCCTTGTTTCCTTGTTCCACCCTTGCTGGTGTTTCTCATGTCCTTTTTGCCATACTAGTGTCACAGCCATTTCCTTTTTCTACCATAGATTTTTTTGTTCTCCCTCAACTCCCTTTGCCCTTTGTCAAAATCCAACACCCACCTTCAGAGGAGAGACAGAAGGGCAATACTTGCCTGTACAGAACAGTAGGGCAAATGGGTTGCCTGTAAATTGCACTCACGGCAACGTGCTAAGTATGCGATACCCTCGACAGGAGAAGATGGCAGACCTGCCTGGCTGGCAGGATTAAAACAAGAAGAGTCTTGTGATCTGGACCAAAGGATGCTAAAGGAGGCCAATCCTCAATCTATCAGAATCTGTGCCTGCGAGGCAGGGGAAAACAGTGCTGAGACTTGTTTAACTCAAAGTCAGCATTTAATCCTGCCAAATATATTGGCTTAAAACATCTTAAAAGTCCCCCCAAGGTGATTACAAAACATAAACTTCACATCATGAATGACTCTCTTTTCTCAATCACAGAAGAAGAAGAAGGAAAAACCCCACAGACACATACGTGCCATGTTCCCAACAAGTCCTAATCTTTTTTTCAGCTCAGGTTCTGGCAGCTCAGATGTATTTCTTCCAAGCAGCCAGTTTCTCTAACGATCAAAGGGAAATTCCTGGACAACTCCTTGCTTTCTTGGAAAGGAGTGTTGTTTTTCTTGATCCTACCAAGCGAGCGTACACTTTTCAGCAAACAACAGTGATCAATTCTATGGGGTTGGCCGGGCTCTTGAGGAACTTCCTGTCGTCAGCTCATGTTAGGGAAAAAGGCGTGCTGGGAAAACACTCATCCCAACACACCATTTGCCTGCTCTGCTTCTCGCTACACATTCTTAAGAACGTCCCACCTCTTCCAAGCTCTTGACAATGCACATCAACTCTCTTGAAATTCCTTAATCGCTTAATCCTTAATCGCTTAGTCCTTAATCTGGACTTAGTCCAGAATTTTTTTCAAGACAATTATACTTTTTCTTTTTTAAGATAGTCTTGTAGTATTTTAAAAATAAACTCTTGATTCTTTATGGGCATCATCAAGTAAAAAAAAAATCCTTGGTTACATTCAAGAACACTCATTTCCCTTTTAGATGTACATTTTATTGAGTCTTTTTTGTCATTTACCTAGGACTATATGCAAGAATACCTAGACTATCTGCATGGGTTTATGGCTCACTCAGAAAAGTGTATATTCTCCATATTTGTAGCCAGCTACACAAAATCCTTGGCTGCTAGCATTTAACTAGCATTCATTCATCCATTAAGAAGGAAAATACAGAGGTCATCTCACCACACAAAGTTTTAAAGGATGCAAGCCATGCAAAGACTTCTCAAAGAGGCAATAGACAGCTCTCACTCATGGGGATTTGAAAGGACACTTGCTATTGTCTGAGTAAAAGTAGTTCTTGAGAAGAGCAAATCTGGAGAAACTTTAGCAGTGCTCCCACTGAAAAAAACAGTCTTTACTCAGAGTTACTGAAAAAATATCTTTCTTCTCTGAGCTTAAAGAGCCCAGAAAAGTTAGAAGAGGCAGTGCTTCAGTTAGACAGCCTAATGCCTTGGGTTGAGAATAGTCCTTGACAATGAGCTGGCAGCTGAAGCAAATCTGTGATATGTGAAACAGCTATGTTCCCTTGTTCTAAGTTCCCCACCCCGTGGCCCTGCTTGCAAGGAAGAGATAAGGTGCATACTTTGTGCAGCCCCTCAGCTTGTTTCATGTGCAATGCAGTTCCTATGTTTTTAAACACTTTTTCCTCCTGTAACCTACACAGTTAGCATATTTGTGGTATGGAAGACTCAAAAAGGGTAGAGTCTTTCTCATGACCTGCTCTTTGGCTATTTTTTCAGCCAGTCAGGCTGAAAAGTAGCTTCATATGAATTTTTTATTTTAGCAGCCACTGAAAAATTCTCAGCTCAGGAAAGTGAAGCACACATTTTGAGGTCAGCTGCTCACAAGCTGCTTTTTGCTGAAATCTGTTGTTCTTCTCAATGACAGAGTTCACGAGACACATAACTCATAACACTCTCATAACGAATGAGCACCACAGACCTTCACTGTAGGTAGGTTCCTCCTGCTCTGCAAGCACCATCCCTCACTCCATTCCCTGCGATTTTCTCAGGAAATAAAGTCTTCTCTGCTGAGTCATGAAAATTCTGGCAAACAGTCCTGCCCAAGTAGATAATAGACTAGGAATTTTCCTCCTGTCTTTCCTTCTGTTTCCTTCTTCATTACTCATTCCTGCCCTCCTCTCAACCTACTTCTCTTCCTGATTAAGATCACAGCAGAACTTCTGTGTGAATCATCACTGACTTCTCAACCCTTTGCTTATTCTGTTTCTTAGATTCTTCACAATATGTCTAAACAGCGTTTAGCATAAGGAGGGAATGGGATCTGGAAGAATCACAGTAGCAATGAAATGTGGCTGAGGTTCCTCTTATTCTAAGGGAGACCATAAGTCTTATTCAGCCACCTTACTCACGCAACAAGTCTCCCTCCCAAAGAGAAACTGATAGCTCCTCACAGGGATGGCAATCTAATGGCCAAGTCAGTGCCCTCATAAAGTTGGAGGACTAAGGCAAGCCCAAGACCCCCAGATTTTTCCACATCTACATCTACATGTTCACCCACTGATTCTAGTCTAGAGCAAGCCAGTTGCCATGGAAGGGTATTGGCTATGGCCCTACAGACAGTATAAATTCAATGGGCCTGAGATACATGTTTTTGGAAACCACTCTGAACTCAAGTCCAGCTGTCCAAGGTGGTATAGAGAAAGGCCCAAGGAACAACAAGGCTTTCATGCATAAGGTTGAAAATTTTGTCCTGGAAACAAACAAACAAAAATAAGAAGCAAAAAACCAAAACAAAACATATCATGATCTTCCATTAAAAATACTGATAATCGAGTAAATAGGGAAAACTATGGGTGAGATGAAGGGGTGTGGGTAAAAAACGTGTGTCTCAGAATTAGCAGAGGGCCAGGTATGTTATGACACATCTGGAGGAGGACTGAGAGGCTAGTGATTTCACCACCGTTCTTAGTCTTGTTACTATCTCAGTTGGCTGTAAGTGCTTTCATCTGGCTATAGTGCAGAACAAAACATGACATTTCTGGGAAAGTTCTTCAACAGTCTCCAAAGCCAGGGACATTTTTGGATTTATTCATGAAAATAACAATTTTTGGTATAGCTTTTCATGCCTGATAGGCTGTAGAAAAGATGTACAGAACGTTGTATTTGGAGTGGGTTGAGGTGATACAGAGGTTGGTGGAAGGGAGGTACTTGTAGATTTTCATTGAGACACAATGTAGGCCCAGCAAAAGTGTGTTGCAGTTAGTACACCTGCCTCGGTATCAATGCAGTTTAGAGGAACAAGAATGAAACTGAAGAGGCATATTAAAAATCATTAAAAAGATTAGTGTTTTTGAGGAGGTGACATGAGGCTCTTACATATGGCTTGAAATGTGTCCATAAAGGTTTCCAGGTTTACTGATTTCCTTAGCTCCTACTCATTGATGATGACTCATTGTACAAATTGACCTTTCTGAACTGAGCCAAGAGCTCTGTAACTTCCAGTAATTCCATTATTGTTTTTAGTAATAATTTTTCTTGTCTTTCATGTGTGAAAGCAATGGAAACAGATCTGTGGAAATCTGGATTAAGCCTTTTTGACACAGGTAAATATTTAAAGCATCCAGTAACTAGTCTGGGAATAATTGGTTTCCAACACACATGGGGAAAGCTAACACTATTAATCAGTCCCATGACACTGTTGATAACAATCTTCTTTTAAAGAGTAACTATAGTATTTAAACTGATAAATGAGGTACGTAGCTTACATCTCAGTAGTCCAATTTATTCTGTGCTTGCCTCAGTCTCAAGCATTGCGTCAAGCAGGAACAGAACAGATGAGCTCTGGAAAGAGTTGGCAGCTCTGCTGCTGCTGCAAAAAAAAAGGTTCTAGCTACTAAAATCCATTTCTAAATTACAAAGGTGAATTTTGAGAATGCCGCAGTCCAGATAGCAGCCTAGAGATGCAATCAGCAAACAAGATGAATTATTCTGAGGACAATAGATATAAGAAGGAAGGGCATTCAGATAGGAAAAGGAGGATTTTAAATGAACGTAAAGGAAAATAAATATTATTGACCATTTGTATTGTTTTATCCTCAAAAACTGACAATATGGAGATGCTAACATTTTTATAATTATTAGTGGGTGAGAAAAAACATCCTACATTTGTAGGAGACCCAACTAGCAACAAGAAAGGGAGGTGCATAACCCTTAATCAGGAGCAGTTACCAACTGCAATTTCTACATGCTTGATATTCCTTTGTATATTCTGAGGTTATGCCTTTCCTCAGAAACATTTAAAAGCAGACCACACAAAACGCAGGGCAATTCATTATAGGGTACACACTCTCTGTCACAAGAGACTCGACCTTCCAATGTAAGATGTCTTTTCTGTCACCAGTTTGTTGCTGGAGGAGGGCCACACTGGGCTGGGCTGGGCTGGGCTGGGCTGGGCTGGGCTGGGCTGGTGGCCCTTGTAAAGACCATTCCCCTGAAAGCTCTGCTCATTCCAAAGCTGAAGCATGGCTGAAAGCTGGAGCGTTTGCATTAGTCTGAAAATCTAGTATCAGCAATGATGGCTGTTTAGTCAAAACGTGCATCATCCTGAACATGAACAGATTTCCCGTCTACAGAGGTTGCAAGCTGAGCCAGAGAGACAAATCATTTCTAGCCACTGCAGCTAAAGCTGTCAGTGTGTTTATCCAGAAAAAAGCTACAGCACTAGGACCAGTGATGGGCAGATGGGTATTTTGAGAAAGAAAAATGACAGATTGCATTAAATGCAATGAAAGATTGGGCACGGGGGAAGGGAAGTTGTATTAATAGTTCCTCTGTAAGTGAAGTGGCCGTGCAGACTAGTGCTAAAGTCTGATGAATTCACATCGTCACTTCAAAGGAATGGTTTCTGGCATGCATGTAGCCACTGCTGTCTTACTTAAATGAATGGGAAGTTTAATCAGCATGGACAGCTGTGACAATCAGCAAAGGGAACTTTAATTAGCATGAAGTGAGCTGCCCATGCAGCGAGTTGAAATTCCCATGGCAATAACGACATTAAATTGGACTGGCAGAACAGGGAGAGCCACACAGACTGACCACCTCCCCAATTAGTGGAGAAGATTATTTGGTAGGTGACCTTATTGTCACACTAAACGCAAATCAGCCAGCTGCCCCGCAACCTTCAAGAACTGTTAATTGCACTAGCAAATAAAAACGAAAAGTGCTGTGTTGCCTAGACTTGGATTTTCCATGCTGGCAAAGCTAATATCGGTTACCTGCCTGGGTATGGAGTATGGATTTTATTGGATGCAGATAAATGCATGAGGCAGGTAACTATGAATTAACTTCTCTGTACAATTTGGTTGCTAAAATGGATGGAACACGCTAATATCTAATTTCACTACGGTGTTAAATCCGCCTACTTTATGTTCTGAGTATAAGACAGGCTGAGGAATCTGCAGGTACGTGGTACCAAGCTGGCACATGCCACGTATGCAGTGCACAGGCTGTAAGATGAAGCATGGCTTTGGTGAATTATTGAGGAAATGTTATATGCCGGTGCAATTAACCTACGCGTGGGTCCAAGCCGGAACTGTCTGAGGTCCTCTCTCCAGGCCTGCAAATCATGAGTGAAATGAAACGTTTTCAAACTTTCTGACACCAATCCAGCAATGCTCTGTGATTCAGTGAATCTCTTTTTCCTCTCACAAAGACATAATCTCATGTTTCCAAGGCTGTTACCTTGCAAATATCTTGTTCAGGACCTCAGCTAAGATCTACTAATGACCCATGAGACTATTTCCCATGACTTCACTGTGGCCTTTCGCCAGGATTTACCCCATTTTCTTTGCGCTTTCCAAGCAAATCCTGCAAAGCACCTGAAGAGCCATGGCTTTCATTGCTTCCCCAGCTATAACGTGGTGGGGGAGTGTCCTTGCCCGTGTTTTGATCTCCAGACGTAAAGGCAACACTGTAAAGGCATCTCTTGAACTGCTTCAAAGGTTGTGCAGCTCAGTGTAAAGAACCTGTAAAATAATCACAAGTCGGTGAGGTAAGGCTGGCAGTTCACTCAGCCTAGTTGCAAATGGCAAGATAGGGAGTGAAACTGGGAAGTCGATAGCTCATGCTTTTTCTCTCCCTTTTTGCATCTCAGGAATCTTCCATTTATATATCCTTGAGTGAGGCAACCAACTCCAAAAGGGGAGTCAAAGAGTCAGAAAAAGAAAAGTACTTCTGACTTGGCATTCCCAGTGGTCTGTCTGCTTAGGTACATTTTGCTGGCCTTTCTAGAAATGGCTTCACTGTTTTTTTTTTATAGGAAGCTATCCTAGAAGATGTAAAAAAAAGTAAGTTCCAAGGACATACACCACATCCTCATTTCCTTCTTATGTAACTCCTCAGATCACAGTGAATTCACCAAATAAACTAGCAGCTTTCACTCCACGCCTGGCCCCACTCTCCTCACCTTTTTTCTCTCAGAATTAAGGTAGCTCCCGTACATGCACCGATTGAACATTTCATTAATCTCTCTAGGCTTCAGTTCAAAAGAAGAATTGAATCCAAAACCGCTGGAGTCAAGATCCCAGGGGAACCCAAGTACGTATATCAGAATTAATTTCATAATTAAGCAGTAGCACTTTATTAATTACACTTTACTAGAATGTTTTCAAATTAATTAACCAAAGATCAGTTATTAAGGAACCTAAGAAACTTAAGGAACGCATTTTCCTTCCCAGAGGAATAGCAGGCATTCTCCACTGATCCTTCTCATACACATAATCAGCTTTTGCTTCTATAGAGGAGGAGCTACAACCCAAACTTGGCATACCTGGACAGTGAGATGATGGCTACCTACCATTACCTTGCTGGGGCCATATCAGCTCCACATTCCTGGGGCACAGAATTTTGATAAGGGGATATCGATGGTGGGCGATAGCAAGCCCATCCGCTGTGGCCAGGGATAGACAGGTAAGCCCTGCTGACGAGAGTATGTTCCTGTGGCTACGCTGAGCGAGGAGCCTGGTGCACAGGCCCCCTTCCCGCTGCTGTGGATGGTAGGGCAAGAAACCACTCGAGAAAGGTGAGCACAGCGTGAGAGAGGGGTCTGCATCCCGGGAGAGGGTACGGAGGGAGCATCTAGGATCCCTCAGTCTGGAAAAGATGTTAGGTCTCCCGTTCTGAAAGGGAACTCCTGTTCCCGAATGGAGAGGAACTGACAGAGTGGAGAGATGAGGTCTTCTACCCCATCCTCACAGCAAGCCCTCCCTGGAGAGTGCCAGGCGCCTGCCCTTGCCTCGTCCTCCCACTGACACCCAGTGTCCTGTTACTCATCCTGCAACAGCTGAGGGCTCTCTGTGGCAGAACTTGCGTTACAGGGCATCCTTAGATCAAATACTAAACCAAACGTCATTATAGTCCTGTTTGCTTCTCCTAATACTTAGAAATATTTTTTGCTCCAAAGAATGTCAAATATACTTAAAATTAACATAGAAATAAGGGAGGGGAGAAGAAAAGGAGAAGGATCCACCATACAGACTCACTCTCACTGAAGGAAAATTTAGTAGTTTAGCAGAGATTCAGGCAATTGCACAGCTGGAAGTGCAACAGTGCTGGAAGTGAACAGAAATAGGATGCCCCAGAATCATAAGTCGCATGACTGTGATACCTCTAGGACCATAAGCTAGATTTCAGATTTCCCCTACAAATCAGAAAGCATTTAGCTCCCTACAGAGCATGTTTAGCACATGATCTTTCAAAGCCCTACTAACGTCCAAGCACTGAAGTACTCCTGCTGTGTGAATTGTCCTCAGAAATCAAGTTTGTATATAATTTTGAGAAGACGTGTAAGTCTTCCCTTGATCAGTCCCAGTTGGCTAAGAAACTTCCACTTTACACATACACATCACATGATAGAATTTGCCTTTTAAGGACAGGAAATTCAGGAGAATCTGGCCCTTAATTAAGTTGTTATTTGTTGTGGGTTCCTGGCCTTGCCTCATGATCTGCTGTGAAAGAACATAGTTCTCTGTCATGCTTCCATAATTCAGCATTATTAAAATTAGAAAAACAGACAGCCACAGGAGAAAAAATTGAAAGTAATGAGATGGGAGGCAGTTGCATAAGGCAGTAAGAACAATCAGTGCTTTGTAGCCTTTGGGCTATCTAATGATTAAAACAGACTATTTTGGAGAGTCTGATTGGTAGGAAGTAACATCAGTGAGAAATAAGAGAGGCACATGGAAGAGGAAAATATTAATTAGCACTCTAGTTCAGCCGAATTTTGATCCCGTTGCTGGTCACAGTTCAGTCAACAAATGTTTACCACTAACTTGTAGAGAAGTAGAAGTGGGCTGATAGTGACTGAAGACACTATTTGCAGAGGCACAAAGAGCAGGTTCATCTGTGTAATTACAGGGAGGAGTTTCCTTGTATGGAGAGACAGTTTTTCTAGAAAGTTGCTTTTAGCTGGGTGAGCAAATAGACAAAAGCACGCTGCTGCAGGCGCACAGGTAAAACGCACAACTGCATTCGAAAAGATCCTGCGGTCGACCTGACAACGCCAAGCGAGCTTCTCGTTTCCAGTGTTAACGCCAGCCCAGAGACAGCAACCGCCAACCGCTTCTCATTCAGGTGTCCGCAGCGGCTCAGCAAGCAGTATTGCAAGGATTGCTTTCAGCAGCTACTTGAAGAAAGCCCACAGAAGAAATTAAACGCTTCCCTTTGCCCTGCAAGCACTTCATGGGCAGCAAGCTGAAACGGGGAGCGAGCAGGGGACGCAGGCGACGCCTGGCGGGGCACAGCTAGCAGCTCCAGCTCAGCGCCAGTGGCGCGATGGGTGGCACAGGCAGAGGCACACGGCAGCCCCGCGCACCGGCCTGGTCCCTGGTTCCCGAGCCCAGGGCCATCCCGGACAGCTCTGCCACAGGCTCCAAGGAAGCCAGGATGTGATCAGCCTCAAGTTGTCAAGGAACCGAATGGATTTTTCTCTTCCTTCTGAGCAGGGTTATCATATGAAAAACACTTCCTGCTATGACTATTATATTAATTAGGCCCATAAAAGCATAACTAAGGGGAATGCTCTGGCCTGCGTTCTGCAGGTGGCCACACTATGTAATCCAGCAGTCACGTCAGGCTTTAAGAGCCCTCGCTACTGCCTCTGGCCAGTCAGTCAAGGACCATGTGTGTCTGCCAGTGAGCAGTACAGACGTGAGCCCGCAGCTTTGCCCTTGTCCCTGTTAAAGGTTTTTTAGCAGAGCCTGCACAGCTGGACAAGTTGCTGGATATAGATTTTTTTTTTTTTTGTTAGGCCTTCATTTCTCGCAAGAAGAAAAGCTGTCAGAAAGGAATGAAAATACTTTCTGTGTTTGTGTGTCTCTCCTCAGATTGCAAAGTTGATTTGTCCTTCTTGATTGATGGGAGCTGGAGCATCGGTAAACGTCGCTTTCAGATCCAGAAGCAGTTCCTCAGTAACGTGGCTGAAGCCCTTGACCTTGGCAGTGCTGGTCCTCTGATGGGCATCATTCAGTATGGGTAAGAGCTTCTTAAATATCAGCACTTACCCCCATCCAGATAGGCCGGGAGGGTCCAGGGAGGCCTTGAAAAAGAGGTAGCTGAGGGGAAGGCCATCTCGTTTTCTAACTTCTAGTACTGCCTAAAATTGAGCTTAATTTAAAATTACACCTGCCACGTTTTTTCCATACATGTTGTAACTATCCTCAACAATAATCATCCAAATGAGAGCAGGACTCTAGTGGCTATAAACTTAGTCCTGCTCCATTATTACCATAAACCACAGTTATCAAATTCACAGGTGCTCGTTGCTAAAATAACATCTAAAACCTCACCAGCGTGGCCTCACTGGTTTATTTTTCCCTCGTGTGTACAGAACGGCAGCAGTATGTTGTTAGCGCTGGTGACTAGATATAGGACCTTGCACCATGACTGGGTATCAAGGTGTGCTACGTGAGAAGACTGGCTCTCCTCTCCCCTTGGAAACCCCCAAGGGCATGGGGCACATTCACATAAAATAATGGTGTGGTAAAGTGCATTTATCCTGCCTTCACATCCAGTGTTACACTCCCTGCTTCAAGCAAGTAGCTTATCCCAATCTGCTGCCTTCATAGAGCCTCCTCCATCTTATTGCATGGCCTGTAAAAGCAATCAGATATCATCCAGGGTGCTTCCTAGGGACAAGCTACTCCCATTACTGTGGGGTGCGACTGTGCACCCTGGCAGGCATAGCCGTGTAGCTAACACATAGCAAAGGGCACGCTCCAGCTTGCTCCCAGGGTCAGGATAGCACCGGCAGGATCTACAGCTATTATGTGGTATGCAAAGCAAAGAAGTGATGACTGCTTTTATTTCTTCTTTTGATCTGCTAGCAATGACCCTTCCACAGAATTTAACCTAAAAACTTACGCAAACTCCAAGGATGTCAGAAACGCGATTGAGAAAATCCCACAGAAAGGCGGACTTTCCAACGTTGGTACGTGCCGGGCTGCTTGCATGCTTGGGGAAGGCTGCAGCGCCTCGGTTGTGGCAAGCCTGTGAGCTCCTCACAGGGCTGGGGAGCCTGTGACTAAACAGTGCTGAGGGCTACGGCAGGGCTGGCTGGAGCACGTCACTTCCACGATGACCTGCCTGTGCCAGTACAGGGCCCTGTGAGTCCATTGCAAGGGAAAGACTTACCTTTCTCCTCATCAGCAGCTCCCACTGAGGTGCTGGAGGCTCTTGCTAACACAGCTGGTCACCTCCAGCCACCACATCTGTGCAAAAGGAGGGGAAGGCTGATGCTTGGCCCACCCGCACAGCAGTGCTCAGGAGGTCCTTGTACCAATAAAGGTGCCTCTCTTTCCTGTTTTCACAGCTAGATGAACTGCCTAACTGCTTTTCCCAGCTCTCAGCAGGGCTCTAACACTTAAATCTGCCCTCTGTCTGATGCTGTCTGATGTTTCATGAGTAGGTTTTTCCTATTTCCAGAGAGATTATTTGAGAAGCTCTGCCAGCCCTGTAACTCAATCTCCTCTTCTGTTTCAGGGAGGGCACTTTCATTTGTTAACAAAAACTTCTTTTCGGATGCTAACGGAAACAGAGGCGGCGCACCAAACGTGGTCATAGTGATGGTGGACGGATGGCCTACTGACAAAGTGGAGGAGGCCTCCAGGCTGGCCAGAGAATCAGGAATCAATATTTTCTTTGTCACTATTGAAGGAGCTGCTGAAAATGAAAAGCAGAACGTTATTGAACCAGACTTTGTGGACAAGGTACTCACAGGGCTGGGCTCTGGCTGGAAGGCTGGCTCCAGCTCTGACTTTTCCAAGCCATTTCAATCAGGGAGTCATAGTCCTCCTCACAGGAGGCTCCCCTTTTCTTCTTGACGCTTCTGTCTATTTCTTGTCCCGCTTATACTATCTTGAGGTGTCACACACAAAGAGCCAGATAGCAGGCAGCAGCGCTAAAGTCAGAAAGGGAATCGGAGCCTGAAACACGCTAAAAGACACGGCAGGCTTTGTCTCACCATAAAGTTCTGGTTTGATATGTACTATGAAGCAAACGGCTTTTTGCTGACCAGTCACTAAACACTAGCACAAACCTGCAGTCGTTCTGAGACAAGAGGTTTTCTGAATATGCAGCAGAGTGACAAAGCACAATTGCACTCTAAGTTATCCATGAGCCTCCTACAGTGCCTCTTCCACTCAGTACAGGCTGAGAAGCCCTTTCAGTCTCATGCTAGTGTTGCAGTTACAGACAGGTGCCATTTCCACATTCAGATGGTTGCACAGGATAACAAAAACAGACCATTTTACTCTACTGCTCCTTTCCAAGGTGTTGCAGTACTACCCACAACAAAAGAGTTTTAAAGGCCTTTGACAGCAAATTAACACCTATGGTGAGAATTGCTGACTAGAAACCTACTGGAGTAAAAAACATCAGTAGTTTAGTACCAAGATAGCAAAAATCACTAAATCCACCCAAACCATGTTCTGAGACTGTCAGTCAGAAATTAAAACTTTCTAAATCGAAGTTAAAGCAGGATATGATCATCTTTGCCAAGCTGAAATGGTACTGTGCTAGCATTTGGAGCAGCATGACGTTTGAGTTTTTGGGTTTTTTTTTTTTTTTTTTAAAGGCTTACCATATATAACTAAAATCTGTCACAATATTCTGCAGCAAAGAAAAGGTCAAACATACTTTTTTTATATATACTTTTTTTTAAGTTCTAGATAAAAGTGACTTCATTTTAAAATGTGAGCTTTCCTTTGTTGTTATGAAGCTCAGTGATTAGAAAAGACTAGATCTTTGGTCGTTATGATTCACCACTTTCAAAATATAAGGATAAATCACTAGGTGTAATCCAGTGGTCATGCTAAGGTTTTTGATCAACTTAAAAGTGCAGCATATGTTGGCAGATGTAAGCATTCCGGTGGTAGTTTTTACTGTTGCTAAATGGTATCCTGACAGCAATTCCAGCAGGAGGCCCAGAGACCAGACATATTCATGCCCGAGTTACAGGAAACACCCATTCGTACAAATGTTGTGACACTGAACACATGGATATCTCAATTGTTTAGCTACACCGCATAGCTAACGTTTTGTACCAGTGGTTGGCCTGATGTATTTTTTTCTCTGTTATTTCCTTCTGCTGTCATGAACCTTATTTTAACTTTTCAAAAAAGAGTAAAAAGCTGCAGCGCGCAGCAAAGAGGAGAATGCAAGCCTTGATCTATTTGCACTGAGCACTAACGGTGGCTGCCTACTTCAATAGTGCTTCAGGGCAAATTGGCACAAAGTTATGGAGGGAGGTACTGAGTGCCAGACCAGCCTGGGTTGAGGAAGCAGGGCGGAAGATATCTGGTATTTTTAGAAAACAGATTCCTGTCTGAGCCATGTTGCTCTGCCATGAAATCCATTTTCAAGGAGCTTCAGAGCTGTTCCAGAGCGCTTCACCGTCTCCAGTCAGTGTTTACTTGGTTGTAGTCTCATTTGCATTTACTTTTTAAAAGGGGCAAGCTACAGCGAGTCTCTGTGAGCCTAGCAGAGACCGAGCAGAACTGGGACTATAGTATAAACTCAAGATAGGAAAGCAAAGAGTGTTTGGTGACTTCATAGAGCATTAAAAAAGCAGCAAGATGGAAGAAAACATAAACAAGAGCAGCATATGTTGGGAAGCCCAAGCTGATGGGAACCACAACTGGCTTAGAGCTGTTAAACTTCCTGTGAGTCAAGCCCAGGCACAGGGAAGAAGACAGTGCCTGGTTCATTTATCTCACACGCACGCGCAAGAAGTTGATAAGGAAAGCCTGGCTTAGCAAAATATTCTCAGACACAGAACTGGGACATTAGCACTTTAAAGGTACTGAAGCCAAGGACAATTTGCTCTAGCGCGTCCCCACCAGCTCCCACAGGCTTGGCTTCTCCCACTCACTTTTCTGTGCCACCCCTAATTCCCTATTCAGTTAAAACAATAAAAATGAATAAAATTTTATGACTCAGCAGAGCCAGCACAACTGGGAGTCTTTACGAACTTTCTGCATTTTCACCAAGATTCCTTGTTTGGTCGGGGGGTTTTCCTGCTTAGGAACATATAAGCCAGGAAGAACCTTGTTTCGGTCCCAGATTTCAGTTCAGGATAGCAGGGCTTTACCAGCAGGCAAAACTTTCCTAGTTACCCTGAAGCTGGGAGGATGTGAGCTGAAGTCGCCCTCTGACAAACACAGAGGCTCCCATAAGGCCCACTGGAGCCACATTAACACTAGCTCTGTGATTTGGATGCTTTCTCCAGGAGCTATATAACTTATTCATAAAAGCTTGACAGGTGGCAAACTTCCTATTACAATTCTTTCACCTGTACAATAACATCAGCTCCATGCCCCAGTTTGTAAATAAAGGGCAGGAAAGACTGGCTCTTTACACAAGTATCTGTGATGTTACATTGATGTCATTTCTCAGGGAAGCAGACAGTAACCAGAGGAGAGGCCGCTGCAGATTCTAGCATCCTCCTTTCCAGGCCCCAAACTTACAGTTTAACTAAAATCCTCACTGAAACAGGTGCACTGCATCTCCGTTGCATTCATATTGTGTTGTTTTACAGGCCGTATGCAGAACAAACGGTTTCTATTCCATCAACGTGCCCAGTTGGTTCAGCCTACACAAGGCAGTCCAGCCCTTGGTGAAGCGGGTCTGCGACACTGATCGGCTGGTTTGCAGCAAGACGTGCCTCAATTCAGCTGACATCGGCTTCGTAATCGATGGCTCCAGTAGCGTTGGCACCGACAACTTCCGCACGGTCCTCCAGTTTGTAGCCAACATCAGCAAGGAGTTTGAGATTTCGGACACGGACACGCGCATCGGAGCTGTTCAGTACACATACGAGCAACGGCTGGAGTTCGGCTTTGACAAGTACAGCTCTAAGCAAGACGTACTGAGTGCTATTAAAAGGATCAGTTACTGGAGTGGAGGCACCAGCACGGGAGCAGCCATCAGCTATGCCTCAGAGCAGCTGTTCAGCAAATCCAAACCCAACAAAAGGAAGATTATGATTCTCATTACAGACGGCAGGTCTTACGATGACGTCAGAGTGCCGGCCATGACAGCTCACCAGAACGGTAAGCTGGGGTTCTTCTACTGTTATCTACTCTTTCTATCTCAGCATTTATCCAGCTCAGAGAATTAGTTTTCTGTGATTTGAAGGCACTGGATGAAATGTTAGGAGGGAAGCATAGCACCTTGCAACGTGATCTAGTTAAACGCTAAGCAAGACCACACAGTCTGTTTAATAACTCAAATATATACATACATATATATATAGGCCCCCTTCGGCTCTGCAGTTCTGCAGAGCCTGAGGAATAGCCTCCTTTGGCTATTCATTCATCTCCCTACACAGCAGGGAGATGAATGCAGTAGCAGGACATTCACAGTGGAGCAAGAACCTCTCATTCAGGAGCCTGTTGATCACAGCCACGGCTATAGATTTGCTATTATTTAAACCTTTTTACTACTGACAATAGTTAGCTCCAAAGAACAGATAAGGCCTATCTGCATTTGAAAATACCATTTTCGTGGGGAGACAGCGTGCTGCAATTCACTGACTGCATTTGTGTGTCCTAGTAACTATGCTTATAATATCTGACTTAAGTAAATCGACTTTAATGCAATTATTATTTTTAGATGCATTCTGAACTCCGTGTTTCTTTTCAGGAGTCATAGCTTACTCCATTGGAATTGCTTGGGCAGCCCAGGATGAACTGGAAGCCATTGCAACGGATCCCGATAAGGAGCATTCCTTCTTTGTGGACGAATTTGACAATCTCTACCAATTTGTTAATCAGCTCATCCAAAACATTTGTACAGAATTTAATTCACAGCCACGGAACTGATCAAATCAAGCAAAGTGGGATCCTTGGACATCATGCTGAAGACACACAAAATGCTATAGGAGTAATGCCAACTCTGAGTTCAAGAAATACTGGAATTGTTCTTCTCTGACACTTTCCAGTTAGCAAGGTTGATTGCAGCTCTTTCACTAGGCGCGATAATGCTCTGTACAGACCGTTGATTTTTGTTTTTCTTGCAGGCTTCAGAAATTCTGATTTGGATGGATAGCAAAAAAGGCAGTAAACTTTTTGGAGGAGATGACTGGAGCTGTTTGAAAAGCTTCTTCCAGTATAGATAAACTTCTGATTCCCACCTTTGGGCGCACACAGGCTCTTTAAAATGAACCATCTCCTTCCTGCACTGGTGTGTGGCCTCAGCCCCGGTCTGCAGGACCTTTCAGGGAGCATCCACACTGCTTAGCTACTGTGGCAGAAGCACCTCCGTGTGACACTGCCCACCAGCCGTCCTCCAGGTCAAAACTGAAATTCTAGAGATTTTTTTTTCTTTTTTTGATTAAAATTTGAGCACCTTCTTAAAAGCAGCCACTCTCCCCGTAGAGCTGTCTTGCTAGCAAGTTAAGTTTCAGCTAATGTAAATTCAAGTGCTGAGATTTATCCAAATGCAGAGACTGGAAAACACGTGAGAGGAAAGATTCAAGCTCCCAGGTGACCTGATCCGTCTGTAGCTGTGGCACCCTACAAGCATTTATCAATCCCAGTAAAGCCCCAGATCCACAAAGCAGCCAGCACACAGGAACTAGAATCTAAGTCTTCCCCCTCCTTCCTCCCACAGCCCTGCATTAAAATTTGATTTTGGGAAGAAAACCTTTTCCATTTAGCTTTCTCTTGCTCCACTTTGTCAGCAGCTCAAGGCCTGTAGTACAGTAGGAGAGTTGCAGAGATAGAAGAGACTCTGAAGAAAAATCACGGGTTTATGTTGCTCACAGTCCAAAAAATGCTCGAGAACCACTGCTCCATCATTAAAGCATGGCTCAGTAAGATCAGCTTATAGCAGTCACTGACATGAAGAGAATTATTCAAGGGCCATTAGAAGGCTTTTCAGAGGAAAGAATTTTAATGTTTTGTATTATACACTGGCAAAACCAAGATTTCTAGCATTTACAGACACCCTCTTCAGAATTTGGAATTGGCTTCTGCTATATAGGTCGATTTCAAAACACACCTACTACAGCCCTCGATTATTCAAAATACACCCTTCCTTCTTAAGGGAAGAACTAGCCACATGGCTAGTTGGTGACGCCAGGAGTGATACATTAAGAGGGTCAAAAGAATTGCACTTTAATTAGGAAGCAGCAGTTGCTGGTTATGTTTCTATCCGCTGTAATTTAAGAAAACACGTTCATTAAGCAGAAGCTACAGAAGGAAAGGGAAGAAGCTTCAGAGCCAGTGAAAATGTGTGTGTTCATAAACCTTATGGCTGTCAAAGCAATACTGCATCAGGCTTGTGGAACTAACAGGAAAGTGAATAAATTAGAGCTCAAATTTCACATCTTACTCACAAACTGGAGTTTCAATAGCCTTTATGCTTTTAATGAATAACTATGATCAAAGGATGCTTAATATCTATTCATATAAAAATGTTAATGGAAGTAAATTGCCATCACAGAAGATTCCTTTCTGTCAACAAAATAAGCACAATCTTTCAGATCTTTATGTTTGAAAATAACCCAAATTAATGAGCACATTTTCATTAATGAGCAGATTCTACATGATCTCCGTAGTGTGATAACATAAGCCAGGCTAGGATCCTCTCAAGAGGTTCTCCAACTGTTATCAAAAACAAAACATTGGATGAAGGGAAGATTCAGATCTTCCTCTTTTAGAAGAAATGTTCCATTCTAGCTTTAGCTGGACACCTAACATATAGTAACGCTACCCAGACAGAAGACACAGGTTACTGCCAGAAGAAAGCAAGCAAAGACATAAAAGACATGCATACAGAGGGTTTGGGGTTTTTTTTAAACACTAATTTATGCTTTAGCGTTTCCACAGTAATAGCCTCTTGGCCTGAAAAAAAAAAAGATCAAGGACAGACAATTATGCAGAATCAGAGCAAGCCTGATATTTCCCACCCCCCATCTTCAGATCTATTTCCTCAATAGCATTCGGCTGAAGGCATCATTCTCTTCCAATAAGGGATATTACGCGGTCTGGACAAAACTCAAACTCATAAACTGGATTTACTGGGGAATGTAGCTTAGATGACAGATTTATTGTTTGAAAACCTGCCTGCTTGGGCTTTTATTTAGGGCTACCTGAGGAAAGTGCCTACTTTTTCACTTTTAACTACACTTAATGCTGCAGTTAAGTTTCTAACGCAACAAATATCACTGTATATTTAGCTCCACAACTGAATGTAATCTCACAGTACAAAAGAGAGATACTCCAAATGTATTGCTTGTTTTCTGCTGAAAGCACAGCACAGATGGTAGAGACGTTAGGAAGAACAGTTAGAGCCACATGCATTCTTTAGGACAGGCATTTTCATTCCTTCCAAAAGCTTGAACTTCAATCAACGACAGCAACAGTTTGCAAATGCTCCTCACAGAAAAGTTCAACTGTTATCCCCTGTGGCAAGCCTTTAAAAAAATGCACTTCAGGGTTCGTTGTTGCTTAAATGGTTTATCTGAACTTTATAGAACGACGATGGTGCTTGCCCGGCAATGCGTATTTTTATTAAGTTCTTGAGATGACCTTGAAATTGTCCAATCCAAAAGTGGGAAAGTGGTTTAATTTTTCATCCAGCTCTCTTTTAAACTTAAATGCCCTGTTCATAAACACTGTAAACTTAAGTGTAAGCTTCAAAAGTCGTAAGAATATATTCTTCCATAAACAAAAGCAAGCACGTGGATCAGGGCAGAACATGCTCCTCTCTTTACTTTTACCTTTCATAGCAAACAAAATATTGGTCATCTAATAAAGTCTATAAATAATATTTTAGCCCCCCCCCCAAAGAAACAACTTACATGCACATTTTCTTCATAAAAGTTGGGAGGGAAGGGTGTGTGTTTGAGGAAAGCAGCAGAACTTTGTAACATATATAAGCTATTCTGAGCTTCTCACAACATAAGTTGCTAAATCTTTTGCAATAAAAATGTCCCAAAAGGCATATGCAGTACATGTTGTCTCATATATCTGGTTAGAAAAATAAACATCAAATGCATTGTGCCCATGCAATTTTAGTTTCTGAAATACAGCTGGAGGGAAGGGAAGCCTACAGGTGAGCTAGCAGAGGAGGGACTACCAAATTACCAACCAGAGGAATCAGTCATTGAAGCAGAGTCTACTGGCTGAAAGGCATCAAACTTGGATGTACCTTTCCCAAGTCTGCAAGATCATGCGTAGAACCAGACCTCCTTTGGAAGCTGAAAAAAATAAGTAAATCAGTCAACACCTCTAGATGTGGGATTGAATCAAAAGAAGATTTGGATGTCCTAATGCTTGACACTAGGCCACTTAATTTTAGATGCCTGACGAATGCAGTCGAACCTGCAATCTGGCTGAGGCATGCAAAAGCACAGAGTACCTAGAGCTGGACTCGGGAGGCAGGGAGCTGGCCAAGTGGGGAGCTATCTGAACTGGGCACTGGATATAGGGCTAGAAGGGATTTGTCTGATCATCCTGTCCTAGGACACAAGGATCTTTGCGCTCAGGAGTTGGGTTGGTGTTTGTGACTGCTCAGTCATCACAGCGCACTGTCGGGAAAGTGGTGGGGGAGCACCGTAACAGCATCTTCCCCTTTCACACGCAACTCTGGCACTAACTATTCGCATTCTAGGTGAATAACTAAAGTTCAGTTCCAAGTTCAACCACCTCTTCAGGCAGAGGTAACTCAAAGCCATGTTGCCTGTTTCTCTCAGCAGTGTCTCACCTAGGCTAGTCCACCAGTGGGAAAGGGGGCACCTCCCATTACTGCACCACCCTGCACGGATGGCATCGCCTGCAGCTTCCCACTCCTGCAGCTTCCCACGCCTGCACCTTCCCACTCCTCAGCTGCTGCTTTTCTCTTCGGCAACTGGAGGAGCTCCCCACTGCAGCCCATGGCTTTGCTCTCCTGCTGGGGGGAGGCCTCGCTGCCCTGCACCTCTCCCACACATGACAGAAACAGTTCTGAGAATCAGGAAAAACTTGAGGATTAAACGTCCGGACAGGCCCAACCTGATCTACCCTTCCTTAATGGGTCTAATTCCCCACCCATAAACTCCCCGGAATCCAAACTGCAATATCTTACTGACAAATCAATGGAAGGAGCAGATATCAGAAATACTGCCTAGATACTGAGCAGGCAGAAGTCTCCTGTATTACACGTACCTTAAACGATTTCACTGTAGAACAAAGTCACTGTCTATCACTCTTCTAGCTGTTTTTGTCTGCCCATCAGCAACATCTCTCCATCACAGTTCCATTTTCCTTTCCATTCCCAACTCAGTTTATGGAAGTTTAGATAACACAAGGCAATCTACATTTGCTAAATCTTCTATATACTGGAAACATTGCAAGCGTACATCTATATGGCTATGTCTCAAACTCCCCAAAAGCGCCTTTTTATTTTGTTAAAGTTAGCCAGTTAAACCTGTGGGGAATAACAGGTTTAGCAATGTGTCAGCTATATTGTTAACATTCAACAGTCAGTCACAATGAACAGTAAGAAAAGTAGGTATTACTTTCCTTTACACCAGTTTAGCCTCATGTTTGAGTTCTAATAAAACTGCTAACTCTGACAATAAATAACTAACTCCAACAATCGCTCAGAGAAATGGATTATTTTTAAGCCCACACTCAAACGCTAGTTAAAAGTTTCACCATACGACCAAAAAGAACACGCTCACTTTTCTCCCACAGGGATACGTACAGCTTATAGGCAAATTCTTAAGGATTCAAGGAAGGTGTCCCGTGGGGGTGGGTTGCTCCTACATTGCTCATTAAACGTTTTTTCTCCTTATTTCAAGGAGCTTTCTATTGACCCTCTCTGGAGGCAGAATACCACTGTGAATGCAATGGGTTGTTACTTTGTAAGGCAACTCCTATTTTCCCATGAGGAGGGAAGATGAGTAGGACTAAATCAGAACGCTTATTCTACCTACCACGGAGAGGAGATGAGAACTTTACTTATCCCACCTACAAGCTAAGAAAAAACAGGATGGGCTTGCTAACAAGTTGTTCTATTCTCTTCTGTGTAGGTTCCTATCCCACCCCCTCAACAGTGCCATTCTGAGCATTTTCCTGCAGCAACGCGGCTACCATCTGGGATGTGTGGTTTGCTCTCTCTCGTTCTCTCCCCAAGGGCAGAACTGTGCGCTTATTTCTATTTTAAATGAATGTTCTACCTAGGAAGCGCACCATGTTTCGCTGGGATCCATGTACCACGGAACAAAGGCAACGTACCCACTCTGCACACCTGTTCGCCCAGTGAAGACATCGCAGACTGTGTGTCTAAGCGCACGGAAAAATGCAGGGTGCCAACAATGCCAAGAAGGTATAAAAGCAGAAGAAAAAAATATATGGAAAACAGAAAAGTGGAGACAGATAATACTTTGCACAGTTCAAAAGGAAGTTCACATGAAGTTACCTCATGCCACTCTAAACTCACGTCTGCTTGTGCTAGTTTGTGTGCATTTATTTCCCTCTTCTGGTACACATTCCAAAACCACACGTTTCTTGATAAGAAACAAGCAGAATTACAAACACAATACAAAATGTTGAAAAATAGTATTTATTAGCACCCAATTTACATAATTATATGGTACAAATGACACTTACTTGCTGCTGTAACATTAAATAAAGCTGCTCTTAAAAAACATTGCTTATTTCTGGAAGTCCATGTGATTTTGCTCAGCACAGATTGCAGGTACAGTATACAGCTATCCCACTTCACTACTGTCATATCAATATAAATACCTGCACGGTTACCTCAATGTGGTCTCATTTTGAACTGCACACTAACATAAGCAGATCGATATAATTTTAATGACAAAATATATACTCGGCTTAATCAGGCAAGTGAATGCAACGTTAAGTATAGCCTACCCAAGAAGTTTCACAAAACACGAATTGCAGTGAAAAATAGAAAAGTCAGGGTTGCAATTGAGAAGCTCAAAAATATATGGTGTATTTCAAAATAATCTCCCACAGAATTTTCTCTCTTTGTCATTTTAGATATTTATCCAGGATTTAAAATATTGAAGTTTAATATGAAGTTTAATATTACATGTTTGATGCAGCATTTTCATTTAAAGCAAAAATTTGTATTTTTTTTTTTTATGATAAAGGCTTATCGACTTTTTAGAGAACAAATCACTACTTCATTTCTCTCATTTCCCACGAATAAAAAGCCTTTCTGGAATCATGAGTTACATGAAATTTATGGATTTGTATTCCCAAGAGAACTATTTCCTTCACAGACTAGAAAACAGAGTATCTCACTTAAGATAACATTCACTTTTATACAACAGTAGCATTTAAACAAGGTAATTTGGTGGTACTGTAATTCTGACACAGCCTTGTACTGAACCATACACAAACTGACAAACAGATTGTATTACTCAACAAGTAGATATTTCTCATTTGGATCCACCACTTTGCAAGACACCTGAAGTCCAACATTGTTTCAAAGTAGTCCTTCAAAACTGGCATGCAACATCATAACCTCAGCATAATCCTGCTGGGGAATCTTAATTTCCTTTAGCTGTTTAAGGAAGAGTTTACATATCGGTAATAGTAGCCTTTTCATATCAATTATCTGTCATGGAAGTGACCCAAGAAGAATAGGAATAACTGTAACTACTAACATTTAAGTGGTTACAACCTGGGATATCTCCTCTGAAAGGGAACTGTCAGGTAACTCTAAATCAATAGCTGCTTTTGTAAGAAAAAAGTAGTAGATGATACAAGCAACACTAAAAAAGACCAAGCTATCACCATGGTTTTGAAAAGTAAATCAGATAATTACATCAGTTTTACTAATATTAGTTCCATAAGGCAAAGAACTTTGTCTGAAAACATTTTTCGTTACCTGACAAACTTCTTTAAAAAGAAACCAATTGAAGACACTTATATGAAATACAATGCAGGTAGACATGCTGACAGATGCTAACAGAAAATGTTACAGCAACAATAGTCTTATCACCACGGATTTTCTCCCACAAGTTTTTCAGATGCATGATTCAAGGAAAACATAGCACAAAACTGCTTTGCAGTCTGCTTAGGCTACAAAGGTACAAGAAACTATTAGCTAACATGCTCATTTTGCATTTCCAGAAAAAACGTTAACCGTCTTCAAAACCTGTGTATGCTTGTAAACGCCTGACAGCGAGGAAACAACAGTTTTAGGAGCCATACATCTGAAAACAAGCTACATTCAAAGACCGCTATCTTCATGAAAGGAGAATAAAAAAATAAATTCTTAATGGAAAAATATTAGCTTGAAGTCCATCATTTATCCCTTAAACAATGTTTTTGGCTGCTTTTAGTAAGTCATCCAAAATAATGAAAATATTTGGCTTGGTAATAAGTTATCCCTTCCCTTTAGAAAAGTACAAATCCAGCTGTGTAAATCTTTTCTCAGCCTTCCACTTAATATTCTGGCACTAGGACCAAGGGTTTCTTGAAATAGTAAGCGAGTAAACTCGCCGAGTGAATGCAAGCAGGCAGGGCCTGAGGACCTTGTCAACACAGGGCTTTGAGCAGCTTAAAAACACATGCAGGCATGGTTTAAACACGGGTTTGATCTCCCTGGACCACAGCACAGCCTGGTAGCACAAACAGGGCCAAACTAGTTCAATACACAACACCACAGAGACTCAATCAGGAAGAAACTCGGGCTAAAAAGCATACGCTATTAAATGCTTCTTTACTTTAGCTATGGTTTGATTTTCCTCAGCCAGCAACAAATATCTACTGACATCAAACCAGTTCAGACCCCTAAATTGTACTGCCCAACTGGATTTACGCT